CGTCGCTCGCCAAGGCGGACATCCTCCTTTCGAGTCGGCTTATCCCATGCAGATCTACCAGAAGGCCGTTCGCCACCGATGCCGTTTTGCCGTTCGGCCCTTCGAGGTTAAAACGCCGTGCGGCAGTGAGCAAGCGACTGGCTTCACACGACAAAGTAGCGTTTGTAAGGTGTAGGACATCGAAGAGTATGTCGCGCACATTCAGAGAAACACCATCCAGCGTGGGCTTGTTGTTGTGCGACGTTTTCTGTGATCAATCTCATGCAGCCACGCCCCAAAGCTCCTGGCGTTTTGAGTTACCTCCCCGGTGCCGTGGTCATTCGCTTCGTTCTCCCGGATTTCGAGTGAGTTTTGAGTCGGAGGTGACCAAGGGCATCAACAAGGTGACCTTCCCGCCAAAGTTGCGCGGTCCAGCTACTCGGAGTCATGGGCTATCCGCCAGTGCTACAAGGGACTCACGTGCCTCCAGTGGAAGCACTGGAGTCTTCAAGAGCAAGACTGCATGCTTTGGGCGACCAAGCTTGCTGACTTGCAATCCACTGGCTTTCTGCAAGTGACAATAGCGGGCCCCAAACCAATGGGATGTTCCTGCTGAATGTTTACACGGCATGGCTAAGCTGGCTTTACTGGTCTCCTTGGCCTTGCACATGGGCTTACCGGTAGCCCAGTTTCTCCGTGAGGCTGAAGACTTGGTCAAGAGCCTTTGCAGAAAGGAGGGGCGGTGTGGGGGCAAAGTGACCCAGACCGACTGAATCGGTGGCAACTCGGCTTCATTTCTGTGGGTGTCGTTGTTCCAGATGAGTAAAGTGATTTCCCAGTTGCATTTGGTCAGCACACGCAAATTCGGCCAGAGTCCATTCACGGGCCCGCAGGAAGTGACTGACACCATGGAAGCATGTTGGTGCTTCTTTAGATGGGCAGATGTCGAAGACAAATGAGGCCGATGAGGAGTCCAGTTCTCAAAGCAGAGATCAACACAGAGGCTTATGTGGCTGTGGGTCAAAAATATGTACCCTAAATGGAACCTTGGTAAGTGGAAACATGGACCAAAACCTGCGGTCCCCTGGTGGTTTAATTTTGACCCATACCCATACAGATGTTGCTCATTCTCCTGCGCCAGCGGTGAGCCAACTGTTTTGCTGGACCATCTTGCTTTGGCAAGTCACAACTTGCATGTGGCACAACACCGCATTGGCGGTGCCCAGCCCGGGTTTTGATTAGAAAGTAAGGCAAGCACCCCCTTTCATAAGAAGTCGAGCTTATTGTTTGTTCCCTCTGTTTTTGACATCGCAGTGCCTGCAAACCTGCAATGCTGGACCCTCCGGACATTCGAACCGTCAAAGTGACAGTTGTTGATTGTCTTGCCAGTGCTCGGGACAGCTTGGTTGAGCAGCCGTGTGGTGCATGCCGTGAAAGGGCCCACACACTATCAAGAGGATTTATCTAGTTTCTCGGTGGTTCCCAGCCATCTCCTTAGCGTCTTAGCTTATTTATTAGTGTGTTTATTGGGGATTTCCATTCAGCCCACTGGAATTTTCACTTTTAGCGGGGGATCTGAGGACAAGTTCAGGTTTGTAGGGCTTGCTGCATAGATCCGAAGGGCTTGGACACGCTGCATGTAGCATTTGCTGCCGCGCCAGGAGCCCTCAGAGCGGCTGGCAATGAAGAAGGGTGGTTCGGCAAATGTCAAGAAGCACCTGGGCCGCTAGATTCGGCGCAAGCAGCTGTCTTGGTGTAAGACTAGGAAACAATTCCCAAGTTCCCCCCTTTTTGACCATGCTCAGGTCTTCCCGGGTCAGATATTGTTTTGCCATGCCCGACGATATTCAGTCAGCTCGGGGTTTCAGCTGGCAAATCGCCCCAGATGGAATCCACGCCTGCGGATGCTGGGGAATATGCCCGGATTGGGAGTGTAGCCCTCGAGATCTTCCCACGCCAACCTGTCGCAACCTTGAGAGGCACGTAGGCCATGCGTAACTAAATTCCTTGTGCTCCTTACAAGATACATTTTGCCCATTTGAAACATGGCTTTTTCCACCAAAATAAAGGGAACCCACCATTTACAAGGCAATGTAATGTAAGGATCCCTGTTGTGGGGTGCAGCCTTCTCAAATGTTGAGGCTTGAAGAATTTGGATGAACCAACCGAGGTGAATGTTTCCTTGGACCGCAGGGTGAAGCGGAGGTTCTGCCAATCGTCCCATTGTCGTCCTATTGTCTAGCTTTATGCATGGGGTTATTAAGGCCTGTATAAACCTGCATAGCCGTGTTTGTAGATCCAACGGTCAACGAGTATTGGGTGCTGCTCACATTGTGTGATCAACAACCGGTTTGTTTCTTTGTTGCGACTTGGCTGTTCGTTTTGTGTTCAAAGGGGCAGTTCCACCGTTGCAACACCCGCCACAGAAGGAATTAGTTTCTGTCAGAATATGATGTCAGGTTTGACCTCTCTGCGTGTTTGTGTGTGTGTGTCACATTTGCTTTGTCCTCCGGGAGCAAACAAGATCAATCAACATGAAGGGCATTTGTATGTCCTACCCGAAGTGAGAAAGCCCGAGGCCATAGTTTGACACGAAGGCATCCGTATGTGTGTGTGTGTGTGTGTGTGTTTGTTGGTGCCCCACTTTTGAGGTTAGTTTACCGGAAAACCAGATGCAAACAACAACATTGATCCATTTTGTGGGTTCCCTATTTTGGCACAGACCCATGTTTGCCTTCTTGAGCTTACAACTTGCCGCTTTTCACGCCTGGCAGAGAGATGTTTCCCGCAGTGTCGATGCACGTGATTGTTCCAGCTACGTTGGTTTATACATTCATGCCTTGGTTACTGCCAGGCGCTGTGCAGGGAACCAGATTCCAGACACTTGTGTTGGTCATGCCGTCAATTCGGCATGCATGTTGTCTCTTGTGTTTGTGAACGCTGCCGCTGGTTATTTTCAGATTCTGATGAGGCAGAACCAATAAGAATGTGTTGTCTGCTCGGCAGAACCTGCCCACGTGTGCATTATAACTCTCAGCATCCTTGAAACGATCTTTCAGCAGAAGATTTCGATGCAACAATGCTCTATCGCGACATGCCTGCAAGGTTTGATCAAGCATTGTTCCTTGGTACTGAATGGCTTGTGCTTGTTAGGAGCGTGAATGGCTTGTCTAGACAATTCATAAACCGCACCGCCGCAGGTCAAGTCCAAATTGCAGGAAGCAATTGTTGGCTTTTTCAGCAGTATCCTCATGATGCAGGGCTTTTGGCCACAGGCCTGGAATTTAGGCGGGCATGTCCAGAGAACGCCCAGCCAGCCATGAAGTCCTGCAGTTATATATGTATATATCCATGAGACGGAAACGATGCCTTTCTGCGTTGCAAGCTGGTGAACCCAACAAAGGGCCCGCGTGTCTGATGAGATTTGATGCCTTGCATAGAGTATGGTACAGAGCACTTGCACAGAGAGACCTGCACGGACGAGCTCAGAGAAACCTACACAGAGAATCATGCGCAGAGAACTTGCGCAAAGAACTTGCAGAGAGAACTTGCCCAGAGCACTTGCGCTGAGAAACTTGCTTAGACAAAAGTGGGCGGCTTCTGTGAAAAACAATCGCGCGAGTTGTTTGCTGCGCTGGCTTGCTCGTTCCTGCAGCCTTGAAAATTCTGATACTTTTCAACATCCCCTTGGCTTTCTTAGTGTTTAGTGGGGATTTCCATTTAACCCGTTAACAGTTAAATGTTTAGCGGGGGATCTGAGAACAGCCCAGCCCTGACTTCGATGTCAAGGTTTGAGTCCGTGAGGGGTTGGGTTTGACACCTCTCCACGCCCAGGCATGCCTGGTACAAGGGCTTCGATTGGGAGGCCTTTGAGGCAAGTGTGTTCAGAATGCGATCCAATAGAACCAGTGGTGCCTTCCAAATGCTCAGAGAAGTTTTCCGGACCGGCACAGTCTGCCTCCAACACTGGTGAGAGCTTTCCCGGCCGCTCGACAGGAAGACTATTGACTTGACTTTGCAGGCATTGGAAGACGTGCTATGCCTTGAAACCTCTGTTTTATGTGTCTTTGCTGTTGGAAGGGTGTCTCTTGATTGCAGTCAATTCTCAATACTCGCAACAGGCTCATACGAAGATCCTGTCAAACGTTTGTTCCTTGCGTTTGGATGGTCTGTTTCCGTGTTTGTTGATGAACAATGTGGAATCAGCACAATGGGTTGACAGTCAGAAGTAGTTTGAAAATGCGATAATGGCGATAGCATTTTATTCAATACATGTTGAGTACTATTACCAATTTGGTTTAATTATTGTTTGAACAAATGGGGAATAAGGTTCGTAGGCGGCAACTGGCAACGTCATGCATGCCTTCAACATTTGACAGCTGTTGCTGTCATTGTTGATTGTCAAAGCCATTTATGTCCGTGAAGGCGAAGACATGACACGAGCATCCGACAAAATCATCAGTAGTCTTCGCCAAAGGGCGCTAAACGTGGAGAGTTGGATGTTGATTCTATCTTGGGCACCTGCCTTCCCTCCATGCCCAAACCCCTACTAAACTCTGTGCCATGACTATGGGTTTTCAGCGTTTTGAGGCGAACAAGGGTAGATTGTGGGGTTCCCCTATCGGTTTTGCGGCCTTCTGATTTTGCTAACCCCAGGAAGGCCCAAGCTTCACAACTGAGGGCATGTCTTGAAGCTTTGCTTGCTGGAGCTTGTGCATCCACTTTGCTCCGGCAACCTTTTTTCCAGACAGGCGCAAAGCAAGAAGATTCAGATGTGTTCTTACCTGCTGGTGCTGCCTGCGAACCAAAAGATCGACATGCATCGGTAGCTCTCGCTTGATTTCCTGCAGGTCACGCGCCGGTGCAATATGTCAAAAGTTGATGCAGCAGTGCTGCACACATGACATGTTCAACCCACTTCGTAAGTAGGTTATTAACCAAGGTTGCTGGGTGGCTGAGGTTAGTTGGCTTACTCTAGCATGGTGCAACTACTAAATCGTTTGCTCTAAAGCCCTGCTGAGATGGAGCCCGTGCTGGATGAAAATCCTCCATTCGTGCGATACTGAAGCTGCCCTATCTTTAGATAGGTTCTATCCTTCTCAGTACTCTAAGAACCGCTCTGCTTCTGTTTATCCCTAGGTTCTTTCCCTTAAATAAAGTGACCCATGGCTCACTAGCCTGGCAGCTTGCTGTTTCCGTCGCGCAGAAGCAGAAGATGGACCCGCCCTACAAGCCGCAGGTCAAGGGCAAAACGGACCCGAGCGTTGCGGGGATTCGCACGCACAGCTTGGCACCCCCATCTATTGGGTAGGCTTGTCAAAACCAATATGTATGAGTTCATATTCTGCTTGCTTCCAGGCAACCCACTGCCAATGGAGATTAATGTGGTGATATGTTTTTCAAGCAATTCGACCGTAGTGGGGCTCGGGGAGAGGGACATGCTCTTGAAATCTTCACTGCGCGAAACTCGCAGAAGCCTGCAGAAGGTAGTGCGGACGAGTCTTGTGGGAGCAAACGATGAACAAATCCAGCCCGCATGCCACATGTAATTGCAGGAAGATTGCTTTTTGCTCTTGAATTGCGTTGCATGATGATGACAAGCCAGAGTTATGTTTCATAGCAACCATCAAGCACGTAGTCAAGAGCAGGTTCCGGCAGCAGACCCAACCCCCTCCCAGAAAAAGAGAAGGCAACACGAGAGGACCCTTTTTGGCAACAGGCTAGCAGAAACTCCATGGAAGGGCGGGCGAGGCAACCTGGGTGTTTGTTTTACCTGATTTCAAGATCTTACTCAGATGGCCTGTCCGGTTGGTGGTTTGAATTGGTGATTTTGGGATTTGAACCCGTGGTTCTTTTAGAGCCCTTAGTTGGTGGTTTGGGTTGGTGGTTTGGGGATTACCCTTGGTTCTTGTAGAGGGTAAATGTGAAGCCAGCCTGAACCAGCAAACCACCAAAACAAATCACAAATTAGAGGGAAGCTGACTTACTTTGCCAGGCATATGTGCTGAAGCCTTCAAATCGCAAGCTGTTTAATTGTTGGGGAAGGAAACCGAAGCCGACGAAATGTGCCGCGGAAGCCCGTCGAAGCAGTAAGTCCTTTTCTAGCCGGACCCCCCAAATGGTGGTTTTCCTGTGGATGTTCCTTTGAAACCTTAGCCAAAAATAAAGGGGGGTACCCCTCAAAAACAGACACCCCCGCAAAAGGGTGCGTGGAAGATTGACCAATGTTCAAGCAACGCTAAAAAGATACAAAAAAGGCTGCTTGTTGCATCTCCTGAAAGCGGCCGGCGTCTCTGGAACCACGGGGAGGCAGATGCCAAGATGCAATGTTTGACCAGCTGCTCATGGTGGGCAATATGATTCGCTTAGCCTGGTTGATTGGTTGGTTGGTTGGTTCGTTGGTTCGTTGGTTTGTTGGTTCGTTGGTTCGTTCGTTGGTTGCTTGCTTCGTTGGTTGGTTGGTTGGTTCGTTGGTTGGTTCGTTGGTTGCTTGCTTGGTTGGTTGGTTGGTTGGTTGGTTGGTTGCTTGGTTGGTTGGTTGGTTGGTTGGTTGGTTGGTGTTTTGTTTTGGTTGCCTGGTATATGTCTTGCTTGCACCTGACCCAGCTCCACCATAGCTTACCGAGACAAAGACGACCGGATGCCAAAAATTGCTGCCCAACCCTGGCTTGCAACCGTCGTCGGAAAGCTGCCCGCAGGATCGCGCAAACTTCACGGCCCGCACGGACGACTTGCCGCCCCAGGTGCCTTACAAGGCGGCTGTGTTCGTGTTTGTAGGAATGTGCAAACAGCACGGCGGGGTGAGATTGGGCTGGACTTTTGGTCCAACTTGTTTTCATAAGGGACTCACTTCGAATGCGAAAATTCAGGTTTCACGGAACGGGCCGCCTTGAACCGTGATCGGCACTGAAAGGCAATCAGCAAAAGGAACGTGTTTGCCAATCTCTGTAGCTTTCAGTCACTTTTGGTTGGCTGGATATGGACTTCTTTTTTGCAGGGGAAAGGCAAGTGAGCTACGTCAGCCAAGCTATGAGACAATGTTCGCATGGGGGTCACAGCAAACGGCTTTTTGTTTGACACTATCCCACCAACATGGAGAATTTCCTTGAAAACACTGGCCAGCCGCTTGGATGCCATGTCCTGTCTTGGAGAGTACCCGCTAAGCGCATAGGACCATCACGTTCCTGGGGCGTGGCTGTGCTGGACGCAGTCATTTTCCCAATCTGCAACGTGTTCGCGATGAAACACTGCGAGCCGTGCAGGATGATGGCAGCAATTGGGACAAGGACTTTGCCACGAGCGTGTGAAGAGCGCGCATCCGGTGAACGTGGCTATTGCCACAACGGCACATGTGAAGGAATGCATGCCATGCAAAGCGTCATGCAGTGGATGAACGAGATGCAGGAAGTGCGCTCCACTCTCTTCCTGGCAAGTTGTAAAAAAAAAAGCAAAAAAGAGAGTCAAGAGCTGATGTACCGCCATCCTCCAGGATAGAAACCAAGCCCAATTTGCAAGCTACATTAGGGGGTTGTAGTTTGGAGGCTTCAAGGTTGGTATGAGGGGCACACAGCGGAGACTGGTTGCTGCTTGGAATCAATTCCTTTCTATACAAGCCACACAATCACACCGCAACACAAAAACACGGACTGCACAAAACAGGGGTTTTACAGTTTCACCAGCTCCTGTGCGAGTTCGGCATACTTTTTCATCCACTGGAGCCTTGTTTGCAAGGCTTGTCTCAAGTATTCCGATTCTGGTGAAGGTCTGGCAGTTGCCTGTCCTAGAACTAGGCCAGGTCAACACTAGGTCGCACATTTGTTTCACGTGGGCCATGAGCCAAGTGAGCAGTTCCTCGTGCGAATGCTTGGTATCGGCTATCGGAGTAGGCCGGCTTTGTTGGCAAAGGCCACGATGTCAAGTGAATTATGTTGACTGTCTTTGATGTTTGGAGAACACTTGGGTGGCCGCTGATTGAGTTGCCAGGCCAGGCAATAAGAATATGTTTGAGTTGTTCAATGGTGTTTTGCTGCTGAACTGATTATTTGGCAGTTCCGCATGCGGAGAATAAGTCCTTCTTAGGTGCTGCTGTCTCACCGTGACATCTCACACCTATCGCAGAAAGATACGATGCTCGCAAGCGAAGGGCTCCCCCGACATCAGTCAGTACTGACTGGGAGCTAGCGGCTAGAGAGGCCCGTTCGCTGGTCACTGGTCATTGGATTGGAAGGACCGGGCGGGATACAGCAGGCGAACGGTGTTGTTCTTTTTGGTCCGGATCTCATTTGCGGCTAAAGAGGTATGGTAGTATACTACATATCCACCGGCTGAGCCGCGAGGAAAAGGGGGGCGCGAAGTTTTTCAACGATCTAAGAGCTATAGTTTGGAGCACGCGTCGTTTCCCCTCTTTCTCTGTCTCTCTCTCTCTCTCTCTGTCTTTCTCTCTCTCTCTCTCTCTGTCTCTGTCTCTGTCTCTTTCTCATCTCGTTCTCGTTCTCGATTTATCTCTCTCTTCTCCTTCTCCTTTCTTTTCTCGTTCTCCTTTCTTTTCTCTTCACCTTTCTCTTTCTCTTTTCTTTCCTTTCCTCTCTCTTCTTATCTTGTTCATATTATGTTTTGCCTTACTGTTTCTCTTTCTCGTTATATTTCCTCTCTTTATTTTTCTTTCTCTTTCTTGTCTCTGTCTCTGTTTCGTTATCTTTCTTCTCTTTCTCTTTCTGTCTGTTTCTCTTTCTCTGACTGTCTCTCTCTCTCTTACTCTCTCTTCCTCTCTCTTCCTCTCTCCTTCTCTGTTTCCTCTCTTCCTCTCTGATTCATATGTTGTTGTCTTATCGTTTCTCTTTCTCCTCCTCCTCCTCCTCTGTCCCTGTCTCCTCCTCATTCTCGTTATCTTTCTTCGCTTTCTCTTTCTTTTTGTTTCTCTTTTCTGCCTCTGTCTCTGTTTCCTTCTCTTTCTCTTTATCCTTATATTTATCTTTGTGATTATTTCTTTCTCTCTCTCTCTCTCTTTCAGTCGCTATCTCTCGCTCTTTCTCTTTCTCTCTCTCTCTCTCTCTAAAGTGTCTTTTTCTCTGGCCGGCCAGGCATTTGGGCAAGTGGTGCAAACTCCCTCGCCTCCCAGCCACAACACGACCGGCTTGACAAGCTGGCTTCTCTCCCGGCACATTGCCCATTTTCTCTCATTTGTGATTGGATCCCAAGGTGGGATTCTTTGGGGCAGCCACATTGATGAAGCGACCCAATGAGGGCGTTTCTTTTTCTAGGATAGTCTTGTTGGTTGGTCTTAAAAGAAAACCAACAGCAAACCAACCATGATTATTGTTATTTTTGGGTGTCTCCCCTGAAAAAAGACACACCCACGCCAGCATTCCGACTGTCATGTTTGTCTCAAATAGAAGTTGTTGCCGCAGCACCCGTATGCCGGTAGATGGACTTCCCCCCAAGACGTTGAACGACCTGTGGCGCTGCCACGCGCAGAGTGCTCAGCTGCCCTGATGGCTCCCAGTTTCTCCGGGCACAAGCTGAGCAGCATATGCATGAAGCGACAAGCCGAGAAGTGGTTTCCCGCCTTCTGAGCACGGCTTGAACCGCTCGAACTGTCCACAGTCTCAACCATGGACTTCTTGGAAGCCCAGTATTTTTGCGGGTGAGCACGCTGAGCTTCTTGGCTGACTTGCCAACCCCCGATCAACCAATCTCGGCAGATGCTTTATGTGCCATGACACGGCGCCGAGGTACGTGGAGCACGAGTCGCAAATATCCCCGGTCGCTGAATGTGTTGGGGGGAAACATAGGAGGATCCTATTTTGGTCATGTCCTCCTGGGAAGCAAGTTAAACAATTTGGGCAGTTGCTTGGCCAACTTCACGGCTGAAGCCAATGAACCATAATTCAAGTTTAGCTGTGCTGAAACCAGTTTCTGTTCCCCGAATCAAGTAGGTCAAGAAGGGCCTGACAGAGCTCATGAGGGGCATTCCGATGTATGAGTAATTGAGATAAACATAGATTGTATTTCTTTTCGGGGGTGTACAGCTGGAATCAAGCGGCCTATGGCTTCGTCATTGGGCTGGCATGCTGCCTGTAGACGTATGCGTGTGTGTGTGTAGTGTTTGTTGCAAGGGTCAGCGAATCAGGCTTATGCAAAGCATTGGGTCCATTTCTTCAGTTGTCTTTTATTGTAGACAGTTTGCAGCATTGTTTAATAGCGAGCCGCTGATGTTTACCAAGAGTCACCCAGCAAAACTCACACGCAGTCGGCGATGGAGCCACATTCAACATCATGAGGTGCATCAACTTGCAGACTTTTGCATGGCCATGAACAGCATGGGAGTGGCGGGGCTTCAATATAAAGGTAGCCTACCTTTTAAACCTGATGGGACACAGATGCAGGCGCAAACCCAGACGCAGAGACACAAAGACACAGAGACACAGAGTTCACAGAGTTCACACAGAGACACAGAGACACAGAGACACGGACACACAGGACACACAGACACAGAGAAACACAGAAACACACAGAGAGAAACAGAGACACAGGCAGAAAGAGAGAGAAACAGAGACATGCAGATACATGCACACACACACACACACACACACACACACACACACACACACACATACACTCTCAGTCTGTTAGTCACACATACACACTCTTAGTCACACACACACAGACGCACAAACAAGCAACACCATCTTGATGAATGTTCATGATAGCAGGCAGACAACAGGGTTCCCAAATAAGTGACACAAGCGCGTACTTGTCCCATCATGAACACACACATGCACGTGCTATGGTCGTGCTACATTGTTTTGCAGCAGGAAAGTATTGGACGAAGGATCACAAACAATGTTGCTGCTTTGACAATGTCAACAAGGTGCCGTCTTCAGCATGCGACAGATCAGATGGTATCATTCACTCGTGCCTTGGGAGAGCTCCCCTCATCTTGCTGCACGCCTGGTCAGATGAATTTGAGCGGGAGAATCAACGGTGCTTCCAGATTCGACGCCAGCAAGCCACCCAGTAAATCAGTGCAGCTTGAGCTTCAACCTTGTGGAACATATGCACGACTATCCTATCGATTGGCAGGTTCAGCGTCTTTTTATGGCAGGGTTGCCCCAAGACATTGAGCAATAGGCAAGGGGAAGAACACCTTGTATAAATTGGGTTCTTGTGCCATAGCTTTCCTCTTCGCATGGCAGCATTTCTGGGGTTCGAATGCGCTGAGACTCGGTCGCTGGCATTTGGCTCCAGCCAGCAAACAGCTCGATTCCACCCCAGGACCGGGCTTTCGACTCGTCCCCGTGTCGCGCCAAGCATCAACAAGACGTTTTGCCTTGCAATCCAAAACCCAGCCCCTAAACGCCCAAGAGGGTTCCAAGAAACCCTAAAGCGATGCAGCTGTTCCTATCATGTTTGATTGGGAGCTCACCTGAGAGCCAACTGGCCCACCCAGTTCTCAGTGACCTCTTTTGCAAAAGAAAGACACCGGCTGGACGTTTGCCACGTTTCAGCACAGTGGATGAATAGCAAGAAAGAGCAGAGTCAGAGAGAGTGTTTGTGTTGTTTCATGACTATGATGATGATGATGATGATGATGATGATGATGATGATGATGATGATGATGATGATGATGATGATGATGATGATGCTGATGCTATGATGACTGAGTACAATCCAGAAGGTGTTGCTCTGAAGGGAACTTTAGATGAGCGTTGCGAAAGGTACCTGGGACCTAAGAGTCTGGGGTGGCGCACAGCCAACATCCAGAGAGCTTCGTGTCGAAATGCCTTCAGGCCCTTCAGGCTTCCGGGAACCGGTTGTCGACTGGCCATGGCCATGGGTTGAAATAGGGCACTCCTTCAAGACTGGTCGGACAGAAATCCCAATGGTGTCCACCACCCAGCCATTCCCTTAGCTTTTTAGCTTTTTAGCTTTTTAGTGTTTAGTGGGGATCTTCAACTTTTAGCGGGTGATCCTCAGCCCACCAAAGGGTGCCCAAATAGAATTCGGAGGGGTATTTATTTTAGGAATTTTTTTCGTTTTTTTTTTGGAATTTTTTTCGCTTCTTGGCTTCTTGGCTTCTTGGCTTCTTGGCTTCTTGGCTTCTTGGCTTCTTGGCTTCTCGGCTTCTTGGCTTCTTGGCTTTTCGGCTTCTTGGCTTCTCGGCTTCTCGGCTTCTCGGCTTCTGGGCTTCTTGGCTTCTTGGCTTCTTGGCTTCTTGGCTTCTTGGCTTTTCGGCTTGGCTTCTCGGCTTCTGGGCTTCTAGGCTTTTCGGCTTTTTGCTGGTTTATGCGGCTTTTGGTGGCTTTTTGGCTTTTCGCATCCTCTGCATTCCCAGTTCCTCTTCGGCAGGTGGCGTTTTTCCGACATCATGGGGGGGGCTGCCGCCCCCCCCAACCCCCCCGCTACGTTTTAGATTTTCTGCAGAGATTTAATTAGTTGCACCCCTAGTTGAATCATCAATTCTTCGAACATCATGGGGGGGTTGCACCCCTAGTTGAATCATCAATTCTTGAACCATCATGGGGGGGGCTGCCGCCCCCCCCAACCCCCCCGCTACTTTTTAGACTTTTTGCAGAGATTTAATTGCACCCCTATTCAAATCATCACTTCTGGGATTGACATGCCCTCCTACTTGAATCATCATTTCTTTGACCCCGTCACACGATTTGTGGGTGATGCTAGGGATGTTGGTGGGACATGCGGGGTATATTTCGCGAGAACATGCTGTAAAATACGACACTTTACTGGCCCGGCAGAGATTGAATTGCACCCCTGTTTGAATCATCACTTTTTCGAGCATCCAATTTCGCGAGAAAATGCTGCAAAATACGACATTTTAGGTAATCTGTGTAGTCCGTGTATGTCTGTATGTATGCATTTCTTCGAACATCATAGGGGAAGCCACCCCCGCCAACCCTCCCGCTGCCTTGTAAATTCTATCACACCCTTTCTTGAATCATTGCACCCCTACTTGAATCACCACTTCTTCCGACCTCATGGGGGGGCTGCCGCCCCCCCCCCAACCCCCCCCGCTACGTTTAGATTTTCGACAGAGATTTAATTAATTGCACCCCTAGTTGAATCATCAATTCTTCGAACATCATGGGGGGTTGCACCCCTAGTTGAATCATCAATTCTTGAACCATCATGGGGGGGGCTGCCGCCCCCCCCAACCCCCCCGCTACTTTTTAGACTTTTTGCAGAGATTTAATTGCACCCCTATTCAAATCATCACTTCTGGGATTGACATGCCCTCCTACTTGAATCATCATTTCTTTGACCCCGTCACACGATTTGTGGGTGATGCTAGGGATGTTGGTGGGACATGCGAGGCATATTTCGCGAGAACATGCTGTAAAATACGACACTTTACTGGCCCGGCAGAGATTGAATTGCACCCCTGTTTGAGTCATCACTTTTTCGAGCATCCAATTTCGCGAGAAAATGCTGCAAAATACGACATTTTAGGTAATCTGTGTAGTCCGTGTATGTCTGTCTGTATGCATTTCTTCGAACATCATAGGGGAAGCCACCCCCGCCAACCCTCCCGCTGCCTTTTAAATTCTATCACACCCTTTCTTGAATCATTGCACCCCTACTTGAATCACCACTTCTTCCGACATCATGGGGGGGCTGCCGCCCCCCCCCAACCCCCCCGCTACGTTTTAGATTTTCTACAGAGATTTAATTAATTGCACCCCTAGTTGAATCATCAATTCTTCCAACCCCCCCGCTACTTTTTAGACTTTTTGCAGAGATTTAATTGCACCCCTGTTCGAATCATCACTACCCCGCTCTGTTTTTCTTAATTGTTTTTTTGTATTTTTTTTGCTGGGATTGAAATGCCCTCCTGTTTGAAGCATCATTGTTTTGACCCCGTCAACCCGCCAGCTACATTTTTGGATTTTGTTACCCACGATTTGTTGGTGATGCTAGGGATGTTGGTCGGACATGCGGGGGATGTTGAAAACGATGCTGGGGATGTTGACGAGCTAGTGTAAAATGCGTCAATTTCGCGAGAAAATGCAGTAAAATACGACATTTTGCTGGCCCGGACGAAAACCGAAAAAAAATCCCAAAACAAAACGAAAAAAAAACCCAAAATAAATCCGCACCCATAGAATTCAGACCTCGGATTCGGTTGCCGTGTGCCGAAGGCTTGATGATGGAGATTCGATCGAAGAACCTGGCAAAGTTGGATGCGGCGTTCCGCAGGACCACGGCAGCCCGGTGAGCAAACCGCCCCTGTTTTTTTGGCCAGGATGCCGCAGTGAAGCATGGTTTTCTTCCTGAAACTACCCCCCAAAGCATTTTTTAGCAGGAGAGAAAAAACGAGACAAAAAAAGAAAACGAACAAAACGATCCAAGGGGCCAACCGACAAAAGGTGATCGACCTTTTTGCTCAGCGAAGAGCAGCCAAGTACTTGTCGCAGTTTGATGAATAGCTCGCCGCAAGTCTCCTGTTTGAGGCGCCCAGTCGAGGAAACGAGGCATTCGCGTGCTTCATTCTGTTGATCAAAGAACTCTTTCAACGAATGCGAGTCGGTCTCGGACCAAACAGAATATGTGAGTCTGGCTTCTAGTGCTCATTCCACAAGAATGCTTCCTGTCAGCCAGCTTGCGCTCTCAGTCAATGCATGTTCAACACCTATTATTGCATGCTTGGAGAGACCCCTTGCATAGCTATTCCCTTTTGAAATTCTCTTTAACCTCCGCTTGCAGTGGGAAAGCCTGCGTAGAAAGTTAAGGGATAGTCCCAACCAGGACTGGGTGCGCATATTTGCCCTTTGATTTCGTTTTGAGCATTGTTACAGGGCTCCCTGTACTTTCCTCTTGACCTCCTTTTGGTGTCAATTTAGATGTGGCTGTGGGTCAAAAATTGGTACCCAAAATGGCACCCTGGTAAATGGAAACACTGACTAAAACCTGTGGTCCCCTGGTGGTTTAATTTTGACCCATACCCATGTGGGTTCTTTTGGTGGGTGCTGTTCGAAGGGGACATATTGTGACTCAGGACCAGGTTTTGATGACCCACGTGCCTTGAGTTCCAGCGTTTCCTTTCGAGGTTCTGGTGTCACCGGTGGACCAGCGCCTGCTGCGGACCAAGAATGTGCTGAAGGCCATGCCGAAAAAAAGCACCACAGATAGACTGCGGACAGTCAAGCTCACATGTGACCCAAAAATGGGGTCCTTCAAATTCACGCGATCGTGGTGGTTGGCTCTCCACTTATACACGGAATATGTTTGTTGGTATTCTCCGTGGCTGTCCCTTCGGGTTCTTCGACGTCGAAAGGGTTCCTAGAAGCAGTGACCATCCTGACGCGTGAGAGCTTCAACCACAGCAGAGTTTTTGCTCCGGCGGACCGAACAAAGGATACGTATCCATGGCATCCCGAGGAAATGTGAGCCAGCCAGGATTTCAATTTGTCAGGCTTCTTGGGAATATGAATCTATGTCTGACTATGAAATTCACAAATCATTCACTAGCTGATTTAGATTTCACTCACAAGCGCCATGCACTTTGAAGCTTCTGTTTGGAGTTCTCCTTCAGGAGCCTTGATGTAGACCATACGGTCCCTGTTGTTTTATAGATTTATGGCGAGTGAGTGCCCAAACGGAGCGCAGCACCAAAGACAGGTAGCGCCAAATGTCAAACGTACTGTAAATTTGGTGACAGATGAGTACACTAAGTATGTCATATATACCATTTTGCAGAAAACAAAGTTGTCTTTTTTGGCGACTCTGCTTGGGTGGCCCACCATGCCCCACCATGCCCCACCTAGGTCTACAAATCTACGTCCCAGTTTGCAAGACATTCGGTGATTCCGATCGGGCTTCGCCCTCGAGGGGAAGTCCTGGTACTTGCAAGCGCATGGCCGATGCGACCCTCGGCAATTCAGTGCTCGTGTTCTGATGCAATGGGCGGCGTGTCCACAGTAACGGCACCCTTTTCCTTCGAGTTGTCGATATGTAGATTTTGGGCATTTGTTTGATGGGTTGTGAGCACTCTTTCAGACGACCCTTGATTTTCTGCAAACTCTTCAAAATAGAGTTTTCCGAGTTCTTATTCTCCGAACATTAAGGACTTGTATGTACTCGTAGTAGTAGGTGCCATTGTGACTTAATTTGCTGATCCTTTGATGCTCGCAGTCTCATCCGATCCGGAATCAAGTTGCATGATCGGCAATGACTCTGCCGCTTCGGATTTTTCAGTCTGATTGCAACTACCAGGAGACCCAAAAACCTTTAAACATGTCATACCCCCCAAAACACGATATTTTTTGTGGGAACACAAGGTTATCACCAAGTTTTCAGATTGAGTGATTTACAGGAAGTACACAGGCTTTCAAAAAATAAGAGTGTGCAACAGAAACTGCTTTTGTAACGGCAAAATACTCGGCCGACCTCGTTTTTGAAGCCACATCACAATCACAGTCTGAAAAAGCCCGCTTTTGCCCAATCCTTGAAGGAGCTAGGGCACGCTCGAGAACCTTTCAGATAACCGGAGAGGAAGCGCTGGAACAGTGCCTGTTTTGCAAAGTTAGGTATGTCAGAATGCCTGCCATATCTTTACCAAAATTGAATGGCAGCGTCAAGAGGGAAGCAACAAACTCACCGATTGTCGGTTGGGGGCCGGAACCCATATTATTCCCACGGGTTACCACGGGTTAGCCACGGGTTCCGGAAACACGATGTTTGCTGAAAACACAATGTTTGGTGAAAAACACGGGGTGCGACAGGTATTCCACGGGTTTACCCACTATTTCCACTGGTCCCCAAACTTTTTCCTACGAAAGCCTTCTAAAAGTGTCGGGTAACGGCCCGGAGAAAGATGCTTGGTGCTTCTCCCCAAAAAGACGAGAGAAGTCTAGGTTACACATGCAACATGACGTTCGACAAACCCGCGTTGCAGGGCCTGCAGCATGGCTTCTACGTTTCTTCTTGCACACGCTGTATAAATTGACATATCGTGTGGCAATGAAGCATTCATGCACGGGTCATACATGGGCCATGCTTGAACGTATACCCCCACCACAAGCCTTGTCCAGTGCCCATGTTTAAAGGGTATAGTGTGCCCGGTCAAGGGAACCTCAAACATGTCTGGAAAGACTGGGTTTCCTTGAGGCTGTCGAGTTCGCCGAAGAACATACAGACATGGGAGCCTCTTGTTGTCGACTCAAGGGCAGCCAGAAACACAACCACCTTGCGTGAGGCTACTTTTTTTTGGGTTGTTCTGGAAACCAAGAAGAAACCACCGGTTTCGGGAGGTTCCCAGACAGTCTTATTCAGGTACTGTATACCTGAATATGGCGAACGGTTGCGACCGATTCGCCGGATTTCCAAGGATAGCTCCTCGGGTAGCACTCGATCGTGCTCAGAGACCAGTGAGGCCAGCGCCGCATCTGGAATTCACGTGGGCTTGATCAATATTCCTGGCCCCAAATGACCATGGGCAAGTTTTCCCGTCATCTCATGCAAAGGGCCTTTTCGGTCAACCCCCCCTCCCTGAAATGACCGTGAACTATGCGTGAATGGACGAGTTTCCCCGTGAATAGACGAGTTTAGCCGTGGACAAAAAGTATACGGCGACCTTTCTGACCAGCAGGACTGCGCAAGCACTTGCAGGCAACAGTGATGCCCGAAGCAGGGGTCCTGACATCGGAAATACTTCAGGTATTGGTGTGGCATTGATACTGTCAATAATCGCGCAACAAATGGAGTGGTTGTCCGAACTATTGGGAGAAAAGCCGAGTTTGACTTCGCCCTGGGAAATGGAGGTACACAACCACTACGTAAGCACTCCATAGAGGCCCTACATCCAACTTTCCCCCACTTGTAGGAGTAGTTGTTTGGATGTAGTGGAACCCCTAGACTGAAGGCCCGCCAGGGCACTTTGCATCGCTGGGGCTTTGAGAGTAGTTGTGAGTTCCCAGATAATTACCCCTGGACAACTTGTGCGCAATTTCCAGTGCATGCCTCTGGCATGCTGGGAATAATTCTCGAACCGGTTTACAAAGGAAGTGAATCTGAGAGCCTCTTCCATCTTTCCATCACTCGGAGCGGGTCGGAGAGTAAGGTGCCAATACGATCCGGCATTACCAGGATGGCCTTTGCCAGTTGGGCAGCGTTTTGTTTCTGGAATCAAGGGCTTATGCAAACAGGGGAACTGCATCATGTTCGCATAGGCAATTTAGGTGGGGGCGTAGGCTCGCGTGTATTTCGCGTGCATTTTGCATAGGCATTTCGCGTAGGCAGTTCGCCCGCATAGGCAAACCTGGGATGATACATGGCTATGTTAGAAGCTTTATGTTTCGCAGCGGTTGAGGTTATACGAGGGAGAGTGGCAACATGGTAGCTATTAGACTTGCATCGCTGCGTGTTGGCCGGAAAGCTATCGCTCAGAGACGATTCCACGAGCAGACGTGTCAAGCGTTGCCTTTGTCACGTAGCTCTTGCGCCTCAACAAGAATGGCAGATTCTTGTTGTTTACATTTGAATAGCTCAAATCTATGCTAGCAACATGGCATCGTTGACTGATTAACGCAGGCGCTAGGTGACTCGTTTTGCGAGCTGACTCTTGATCTGCAGGAGGCCTCGACTTGCGGTCAGGCCACTTGTCTGATTCATCTTTCTGCGCTTGCGGCAGAGTTGGTGTTAGGCCGTTTTTGCTCCTTTGTTCGTGCCAAGCCATTCGGTTGTCCATCTGTAGTTTGTTTTTTGCTCACGCATCGTGGCTGGCCACAGCTGTTTTGGCTGGGCTGAAGCTTTGGCCCGGTGAATGGAATGTGAGCCGTGAGCAAAATGACTTTCATGTATTCGAGAACTCTCAGAAATTCCATCTCTTGAGCTTTGATACCCGCAACGCTTATCAGTGGGCCGCAGAAAGCATTAACCCCCGTGTGGTGTTCAAGGCGGCCATACTGACGCAGAACTTGTCTTTTCGGCGTCACACCAAGGGAAACAAATCAAGGAGCACACCTGTTTGAAACAATCCTGGTCTACGTTTGTGTACTCTTCACTTCAATATGTGTAAAATGACATGGCCACTCGAAATCAATGCATTCAGAAACTCACACCGAATTGTCCTAGTTGTGCTTCAGTGCGTCTTCCGCGGAATCTTTGGCCAAGTCAGCCTGTTCTTTGTAAGCGCTCGCCATGAACTGATGCGTATCGCATTTGCTTTCTTTATGCTCGGAATGTCAGTGGGATCTAGCATCAATATATATATATACATAGATATAAGTCTATCTTGTGCAAGCCTCATCAGAAGTCTTGCTCGTGTGATGCAAAAGAACGAGCATTCGGGTTGCGGCTTTGGGGGATGGTTCTCTTCTTATTTGCCACGGGGCAACAACTTTGCACCAGCAGCAGGGATTGGCAGATCGCCACGGCCAGTTCCAATTTGCCCCTCACGAGGTTTTGGGCGCGGAAGAGATGACCCTCGAGGAGCCGCATTGATCGCTGACTCCCCAGATCACACCCAGATGGGTCTGTGTTTTGTTTACCGTGTCAGTTCTTTAGTCTTCGTGGGAGGTGGGGCTTGGGCGAGCCATACCCCCGAATCATACCCCGAACCATACCCCCGAGCCATACCCCGAGTCATACCCCTTAAAAAAAACACAAAAAAGGATCTTGCAAGAACTGCGGCATTTGCATGTGATCCATGGATAGCTGGAAGCTATAGGGGGTTTAACTTCAAGTGAAGAAGGGGGTCTTGTCAAGAAACAGTGTTAGAGAGCTTGACATGTGGACCGATGCCAGGGGGTAGGGACTCCGAGGTAATACCTGGTTCACTTGTGGTTCCTGGATCTAGTCTTGAGTCTGCGATGCTTGCATGGTTGGGCTCTGATGTCATGGGGCCAAGTACAGTTGACATGTCCACTCACACACTCACTGGTTACTCGTGGGGGGCCATTTTGGCTCAAGTGGTGTTCCTTGACACTCGGTTACCCATCTCGGTCTCGTCTTGCTACTTTGAATGGAAAGTGCCAATGGATGGAGTTATAGAGCAATCCTGCGGATGTCCTGGTACTAGAGTTGTTTGTAGCATCCGTGGTGCTGTGGCGGGGGGTGCAGCTTGACGTAAGACGCTGGGACTTGCAGGGCGCTGTGGCGGGGGGTGCCGCTGCTGAGCTTGAAACTTGGAGCTTTCTTCCTGCAGTCTGTCCGACCAGTCTGTCCGACGCGGTGGAAACAGCTGTCTGTCCTGGGCCACTGTCGCAGTGAAACACAAGCTGTCTTTGTGCTCTTGGGGTACTCTTGGTGTCTTTCCGGTCGAAAAAAGTCTGTCCCCCAATTCATACCCCGATTCATACCCGATTCATACCCCGATTCATACCCGATTCATACCCCGATTCATACCCTTCTGCTGCCATTTGCAGCCAAGAGCCTGGGCAGTACTAGCGAAGCTATGCCGCCCAAATCCTCAGAAGACACAAAACTCAAAGAGAAGCACTGCATAAACCAGCTCTTCGCCAGAAGGTGGGCTAGCCTCTGCGCGGCTGCTGTTTGAGGATGTCACGCTGTCTTGCCCTTACGCTGGTTCGTGACTGGTGCGGGTGGCGGGCCTGACTGGGCAGCGGCGCTTCCCCTTAAGCAACGCTTGCTTGGGTCTGTGAGCACGCGGGTCGCTTGAACTCCAAGTGGAGGTGGCAATGACGTTCGCCTCAAGCAGTGGCTCTGCGCCTTCCGCAGCTTTCGCTAACCCACTCACGCAGAGTGGCAGCTGTCCAGTTCAGGCCACTCACAAGCGCCCCAGGCTGGCTTGCAGCAACTAAGCGGTCCAAATTCTCACGGCTATCCAGTTGCCAGCGCACGGGAGCTTTGCAGTGTCCAAAGCCACAAAGCAAGAGTTCAGAGGCGCGCGAGCCATACCCCGAATCATACCCCCGAGCCATACCCCGAACCATACCTGCGATTCATACCCCTTATACCAACCTCCCGGCACGGCTACGTCAAAAAAACACATACCGGGTATGGATCAAAAATAAACCAGGGAACCGCAGGTGTTAGTCCTTGTTTCCATTTACCAGTACCTATTTTTGACCCACACCCGGATGCTTGACACAAACTAAGGGGTCGCTCTGCTGTGTTGGGTAATCAAAGGGTAGGCATGGTAGGCTCAGGCTGAACTCGGAATTGTCCAATGGACTTCGCAGAATACCACAGAAGCCGGATGGCTCAGAAGATCTCAGATAGTGCCAATGGTTTGAAACAAGAGTCGCATGTCGCAAGAGTTTTAGAGCAAACCGTGCGCTTCTGTGATTGTTGTACAAGGACACGTCACGTGGTTGACGCGAGAAACGGCTTGGCGCCAAGAAGATGTCGCGCTTGAAGCTGTCAATGCACTTGGTCGGGGGCAACTGCAGCGCCTCTGGAGAGAATGCTGGCGAAAGGGAGTTCATGATTTCAACCGGACTTAGTTGGGTAAATGCTCCCCAAGACTAGCGGGACATTGGCGATCATGAGGTACAAGCTTCGCGTAGTAGGTTGCTCAGTACCAACTTTTTGTTTTGCCCAGAATGTGAAAGAGTGAGCTGGGAATTTCGCTGGGAGGTTGCGAGATGTTGGCTGAATCCATTGAAAGGTGCACACACAGATCACAACGGTTGATTTTATTGGAAATAGGCCTGCTCCTAAGCATGGGGTTGGGTTTATGCTGAGGATTTCGCTGGTCGGCCTTCTGTAGCCTGCCTACCAAAGCCCCGACCCCCGCCCCCCACCCCCCCCTCCCACCCACAACCTCTCCCCGACCCCCTTGCCAGCCAAAGGCGGCCCTTTATGATTTCACATGCCGGCAGGACTTTCTTGGTTCCTGGGTGGATGGTGACGGCAACAACATCCACGTCTCCCGCTCGCCAAAGGGGCATTTGGTGCCTTGGCGGACAGGAGTTTGGTTCAGGGGATCCACTGGTGGTCAGGCCCAGAACTGGCATTGAGGCAGTTTCTGCTCGTAAATTCACAGGTCCTTTAGAAGAAAACCCCCCCAACGCAGAGCCATGGGTCGCCAGATATCGGTTGAAAGACTCCTCTTCACTCACTTGTTGACTTTTTAAATGGGTTCTGGGACCCGTGTGCCGGCCTTACGGGGGCATTGTTGAAAAATGTGACCGTCAGATTTCAACAGCCTGGAGTCTCCTGAGTCAGGATCCCAACAAGCCGTGGCAAGACTAGTTATGAGGCTTTCAATGCATACTCGAGGGTCATGAACCACCTTCAGCAACGAGAAAAACTGCACGTTGCCTTCAAAACCTCTTGGGCTTCCACAATCCCAGCCCAGCTGTGTATCCCATCCCAGATTTATATACACTCCTGCTTCGCACAGATTTTCCTGTCAGACACTCGATGCCAAATCCCTGGGTCTATTCGCAGTCGACGACAATAGAATTTATCGAATTGCAGAAATAAGTTCCGCTTTTCTGGGGTGGCCTCTGTTGCAAGCCTTGCCACTATCTGTGTCTCGATCAGGCTTCATTGTAATACCCACCCCACCCCACCCCACCCCACCCCACCCCACCCCACCCCACCCCACCCCACCCCACCCCACCCCACCCCATCCGTGCCCACCCCACCCCACCCCACCCCATCCGAGCCCACCCCACCCCACCCCACCGTACCCCACCCCACCCCACCCCACCCATTCATCCCGCAGAAGGCGCACCTGCACACCTGTGCATCCTCGCACCCAAACACACCTACCCTCCCACACGGCCCATCCACGCACCCGTGCTTGCACGTCGCTCATGCAATACTTCAATACACAGGCAAATGCCAGCAATAAGACAGTATGTTTGAACAAAGGGATATACAACACTATTGATGTAGATAGGTGTCCCGAAATGGCTAGGCAGTACTTTTGGCAAGTAATCTCCATTTCCTGCTTTCTTTGTCTTCGGGTGTCAGTTCTTTTGGCTCCGCTGTTTTTGGCGCTCCTGTGGGCTTTGGATGAGCTACTGGCATTCTAGCAAACACGATTCTCACAATCTCTGTAGGGGCCAGCCAAAACCCCTACCCGCCGAGCCGAAGGCCAGGTGGCTTGATGGCATAAATTCCTCTCACTTCGCCTTTCGGGAGTTTTCTGGTTTCCCGCACAGGTTGCCGGGCATCCCAACCCCTGTTTTACCCTAGGTGCCCCTTTGGACAAATACCAAGCACTGGTACATGGTTGGAGCCAAAACTGAAACCCAGGGCATTTATTTGAAACCAGGTTTGGCGGCAGGACCCCCTCCCCAACGACTGCTGTTTTGCATGTTCCAAAACCTCAACAGCTGTCCAACATGTCGGGGGCTTCATGTTTGAGGCCACCGTATGTTGAAACGGTGACCCAAATAAGAGTTTGGTAATTACCCCGTTTTTGTTTTTGAGGCTCGGTCTCCTTTTTCCGTTGGCTTAAGACACACCCACCACACTCATTTAGTCTCAAAATAGGGATTTGGGCTCCCAAAACCTTCAGACTGACCTGCTTTTCGGGGTACCAACTCAATAGACGAAAACACCCTCATGTGCCAACATTGGTCGATGGTCCATTTGGGTTTGTCTCAAACTAGGGGAAGGGGTCCCTTTCCCTTGAAACCAAGCCAACATAGTGTGCATGGGCGACAAGCATTACGTGAATCCATGGTTGAACCCAACCATTTCTTGGAGTTTAGGTTGCGACATTCCATATGTTTTGGCACCTCACGGAGACCAATTTCCTCTGGCCACTTTTCTGTCACGTATCGGTTTTTTTCTTACAGATGGCCCACAGGCTACCGAGTCAAAAAGTAGGCTGCGCGACACCGAGGCGGTGAACATTTCCAGGCCTCCGTTGCGTCAGCTCCGCCTGGAGCTCCGGAGATCGGAGGCGGGAATTTGGGGGTCACTCAACAGGGCGCGAAAGGAAACTGAACTGGCCATGGGTCAAAATCCCGGTTAGCCCTTTAGTGAACATCCCAATCCAACAACCAAAATGGGTTCTAACATGGGTGGTGAATTCACCTACCAACCAACATGGTACCATTGGTTTTGACCCACAGCCAACTGGACATACTTATCTCATGTGCTAGTGAGCAGGCCCAGTACTCCATGTATTGGCTGCCCCTTCCTTCCGTCCGGGATGATGTGGATTGTTCTTTAGCATCACAAGGTGCGCTGACAAAAGCCCGTTTTTCAGGCAGTGTATGCAACAAGTGGAAAAAAGACTATTGCTCTGGCATGGCGAGTTGCTCTTTTTGTTTACAAGGCGGCAGGCTTGGAACTTAAGAGAATCAAAGTGGAAGCGCTAGCCAGGCGCGAGCCGGGCGCTAGCGTTTCGTTTGGTTCTGAGCTGTCCTTCTTGCCGCGGCTTGTTTCAGCTTTTTTCCGGGGAATCAAAGGGCATTCCTTGCTCCAATGGCCTTTGGTCTTCTGAAGGGCAATTGTAAACGTTGCGCGCTGCCTGCTGGGCTGCAGCGCAAAGTCATTGTCAGGAGCAAGAGCTTGTTGAGGGCCAACCAGGTCACTGGAATGACCTGAGCATGACAGGCTCAGGAGGTAGGGCCGGCGCTTAAAGCTGACTGGGGCGGACGGAGTGCTCTGAGGGTTGGGAGGCGGGCTTGGGAAGATTTGTTTGGTGTCAATCGGATCTGACAGTTTCCCGGCCCAGTATGCTGGGTATCACTTGTATTCGCGCATGACTATCGACGTTGAAGGCGTTGCTCGTAAGTGGTATCCTTACGGACAGGGCTTTGGCTGGCCGATTTGACGTTAGCAGGAGCTAGCAAAAGTTTGACCCAAACGGCCCGGTGTCCCCCTATTCTTTCTGACTCAGGGCAGGCTCGTTCGGGATTGTGCAAAGATCCCCGCAATTGCCGGAGGGACCTTTCTTGGCGCGGTGCCCCAAAACATGGTATCGGAAATTAGAGTTGCGGCTTTGGAGCAGCTGCCAAAGTGTATCGTGTGAAGTTGCGATTTTCGAGCTGGAGCTGCCAAAGTGTACTTCGCGCGCGACACTGTTGCTGAAAAGTTGCGATTTTGGAGCTGCAGTGCCAAAGTGTGCTTGAAATCTTGCACTTGTGCTTAAAGGTTGTGATGACTGGCAAAGCGCAAACACGCTGTAGAAGCATAAAAAACCGCGTCCAAAAGGAGCTGCAATAAGTCATGGGGTTTCTATAACCCTATTTGCCAGAACAGGAACGGTATTTTCTTCCAGCTCGTCGGCATTCACCAACGACAGTTCTGATTCGAAACGGAGATGCGTCCGGAAAAGGCATGCGCTGGTGGGAAACACAGGGAGGAGCAGGAGGAGGAAGCAAGCCGATCACAAGGCTGCGGACAATACGGACAAAATGGACGACATGAGCGTCAACGGCAAACACTAAGCTGATCACAGTGCCAACAAAAAAGTGTTCCACTGTTCATGGTTCTCGCAGACTTCTTGGACATTTTGTTGGTTGCTGCTTTGTGGAGCTACTGGCCCAGCCCCGCATTGAGTCTGGCGAAGGCTCGAAACAGCGGAGTATATGTTCACTTCCAGCTTGACTGGCGTTGCCTTGTGAGTGTCAATCCCTGGGGTCCGCGGAGTAACTGATGTTTCTCAGCCGAGGTAGGGGATCCCAGAATTCTCCCCGCATGGTCTGCGACGGGAGCGTGACAAACAATGTTTGGCAGTAGCGCTCTCCCTTGGCCTGGCTGTTCTGATTTGGTCGGACGGCGGTTGGTCAGACGCACCCCCCCCCCCCCCCGCAGCACAGGCTTTGCGCCAGGGCTGTCCGCCTTGTTCATGATGATGATGACGGCGATATAATGATGCAGTGATGTAATGATGTGATGGTGGTGAAGATGGTGATGATGGGGACTGAGTGGCAACTCAAAATATGGACAAGCCTTTCCAGCTCCGCAAAGTATTGCTGTGGCTTGCCGCAGGCTGGATGGACATGCGGAAATGCCACGCTGGGCGACTGCTGCAAGGAGCAGTTAGCCCGGCTTCCTAGTCAAGTCCGAGTGCATGTGGGTTGTCATCGGTAGCCAACCAAAACTGTTCCCCTCTTTGGGGTCACTGAGCAGCTCAGAGTGGCTTTTCGATCGCAATATTCGTGATATGTCAACTCGTCCGAGTGAAACAATTTCGTCCGTGGACGATGGTCTGACTGTTTGCCTTTGTGTCAGGCAGCATGACAGTATCTCACAACACTTGTCCAGCAAGTGGTCCTGAGAGCGGTTGCAACAATTTGTTAGGCCATTTGATCACCGCCGGCCGTCAGTATAGGTTTGTGTGTTGTCCTTGAGGTTTTGCTGATGTCCTTTTGATCATGGCTGTGCAGCTTGCGCAAGGTCGACCATTGACCCAAGGCAGGAGTGCCAAATCCTTCCCTCTCGCACCATCTCACATCATGAAGTTCTTTGAGCCCTTTGTGCCTTTTCGTTTGGACATTTATCCCCTTGCCAAGACTTTCCAGCATAGGAAGCTGCGTTTGCATTTGCCCGCGTTTGTTTGCGAGGCTGCCCTCTCTGGTGTGTCTTTCAAGGCAAGCCACAAGCAAACCAACTGTTGTTTGTGCCTTATGACCTGCACCCACTCCAGAGATGCAACAAAAGGAACCCAAGCATTTTGGGTGTTCCCAAGCCTTTGCAGACGAAAACTTTGGGAACCCCCAAAACGGTTGGTTCCTGACAAACCCAAGTCGCTCTCCAAAGCTTCGCTCAGCTTTGGCGCTTCCCGGGCGCCCACGTCTCTACGTGGCTGCGGCAAGAAGCGCTCGGGGATCAGAAGCAGGCGGGTTGAAGTCGAGAAGCAAAAGCATCACATCAGCTTTCCTCCGTTTGGGTGTGGGTCAAAACGCAAGTACCTGTTTCTTTTTTTGGGTAAACCCCTCAGTTTGGTCCATTTTATCTTGGGGTATGGGGGGTGACCTGGGTTTTGACCCCTGCAGAGCCATTTGTTGGTTTGCATTGGTGGAGGTTGGGGCTTCGCAAGAACCAGGAGTTGAAACCCCGAAACCAACAATCCACACCGCCGATTGAGAGCTACAAACGATTGAGAGCTGCATGAAAAATACATTAAGCATGGTTATGATCTTGAGACATTGGATCGTCAGCGCTTTGCCTGGCGATGTCTTGATGCGTTCATAGCATTGGCAGCATGCGTGTGTGGGGTGTGTGTGGGGTGTGTGTGTGGGGTGTGTGTGGGGTGTGTGTGGGGTGTGTGTGGGGTGTGTGTGGGGTGTGTGTGGGGTGTGTGTGGGGTGTGTGTGTGGTGTGTGTGTGGTGTGTGTGTGGTGTGTGTGTGGTGTGTGTGTGTGTGTGTGTGTGTGTGTGTGTGTGTGTGTGTGTGTGTGTGTGTGTGTGTGTGTGTGTGTGTGTGTGTGTGTGTGTGTGTGTGTGTGTGTGTGTGTGTGTGTGTGTGTGTGTGTGTGTGTGTGTGTGTGTGTGTGTGTGTGTGTGTGTGTGTGTGTGTGTGTGTGTGTGTGTGTGTGCGTGGTGCGTGCGTGCGTGCGTGTGTGCGTGTGTGCGTGTGTGCGTGTGTGCGTGTGTGTGCGTGTGTGTGTGTGTGTGTGGGTGGGTGGGTGGGTGGGTGGGTGGGTGCGTGGGTGCGTGGGTGCGTGGGTGCGTGGGTGCGTGGGTGCGTGGGTGCGTGGGTGCGTGGGTGCGTGGGTGCGTGGGTGCGTGGGTGCGTGTGTGTGTGTGTGTGTGTGTGTGTGTGCGTGTGTGTGTGTGTGTGTGTGTGTGTGTGTGTGTGTGTGTGTGTGTGTGTGTGTGTGTGTGTGTGTGTGTGTGTGTGTGTGTGTGTGTGTGTGTGTGTGTGTGTGTGTGTGTGTGTGTGTGTGTGTGTGTGTGTGTGTGTGTGTGTGTGTGTGTGTGTGTGTGTGTGTGTGTGTGTGTGTGTGTGTCTGTGTGTGTGTGTGTTTGTTTGTTTGTTTGTTTGTTTGTTTGTTTGTTTGTTTGTTTGTGTGTGTGTGTGTGTGGGTGTGGGTGTGGGTGTGGGTGTGGGTGTGGGTGTGGGTGTGGGTGTGGGTGTGGGTGTGTGTGTGTGTGTGTGCTGGTCTGTTTGTGCGTGTTGTTTGTGTGTTGCGTGTTTGTGTGTGCGTGGGTGGGAGAGTTGAAAGCCTTTGGGGAATTGTATAAGCTAAGGTTTCGCACCTTTCAGAAATTCTTGAAGTACCCATGGATAATTATCCTGGGGAACTGTAGAAGATCGTGTGATCGCCAGATCTTACCAGCATGTGGTTGCATTTTGCCAGCCAATCTGCTCAGCCAACTGCATTCCCTGCAAACAGCAGTCTTGTTTCACCCCTGTTATGCACAGCCAACACCAGGTTGGTTCATCATAATCAATTCACAGCTTCAAAGGTTCTTCGTGTTTGGTAGTTCATTACTATATTTGAGCACACAGTTGCTTGACCAAGGCATGGAATCCAAAGCATGAGGGCTCTGAGAGCATTTGCTTGACGTGTTTGTTTTTTCTCCCCGGAGGCTTGGCTTGGCATTTGGGATCCTGAGAATGGCTATGGCCCCTGGGGTCCTGCGCCACTTAGCAGCATCAAAGGACCGATGGATCGAGCGGTGAGACGTGGGCTAAGCTGGGTCCCAGCCATCCGGTTCCTTCTGGGTTTTTGGATCGTTTAGTGGTGGGATTTGTCCAGTTAACCCACTAAAAGTGTTTCAAAACAAATAGCAGGGGATCAGTTTGGACAGCCCGTTGGGGGCTCAGGTCCGTGACCTTCAAAGATGTCGCGCTGATGATCTCCAACGGCATGATGGACACCATGATGGTGCCCGAAATGCAGGAGGAGACGACAGAAAAAGGCCACTGTTCAAGGCTATATGCTTTACCCGCTGATGAGAAAGCGAGCAAATAATTATGATTCATGGTGAGCAATGAGGAGAGTTTGAGTGTAGGTTCTTCATGTGTTCCAAGCAACCTCGGAACATAGTGGCCAGTAGAGAACCAGGCTTGGCCCACGATGTGTTACAGCAAAGGAGCGGTTCTTTCCGCGAAATGCTGCTGGGCTGCCAAGCACAAGATGTCAGGACGGCACGATGCTTTTTGTGTCCTTGACGCCGAAGAAGATGAGTGAGCTGATGTGCTGAGCTTGTGCCGAGGGCAGCAGAAGCGAAAGCGTGAGCACCAGTTGGGTTTCCGGGACAAGTCAGTCTGCACAGATTCACAACCAGAACCTCTGGACAAGCAAAGGGGGCATGTTCTGGAGCCAGCTTTCGCTTTTCGTCCAGCTACGTTGGACCAGCTGTCCTATCGGAATGTGGATGGGACTCAGGAAGCGATGCTGGAGTGAACTATGGCGGAGAGCCATGCTAGGCACCAAGTGGATTGGGCACACCTAGCGGAGTCTTAGTTCGGGATGTGTTTCCTGCGGACATTGGACCGAGACATCCGTCGGTCTTCGGGCTCTAGTTATAAAGCAACGCAGAAAGGTTACACGGAGAGCCGAGAGCTTGTCCCCGAAATCACGAATCTGATTGCGCCTTTGACTTCGCAGTACTACATTTGCACTCGAAGTTTTGACATGCAAGTCAATATCCGGGCGACACATGCCTTCAATCGGGCCTCTCAACAGAGATCTCAGCTACCATTCTTCCACCAGCAGCAACACGCATGTAGCCACAGAGCCGCACAGGGATGGATCTGGCCTTTTGCAGCTTTCCCAAAAAGAATCTCATTTTCTCCCCCGACAAAGCACATGAACTTCCTGCCGCACCGATTCCTGAGCTTCTCTCGCTGCCTTTGGCGCGCGCACAGATCCTTTGACCTATGAAACTTCAAGCTGCGCCGACCTTTGGTCCGGCGCGGTGTCAATTTTTAGCCCAAAGGCACCTGGTTACCTGGGCAGGGACCGCAGGATACCGCAGGGGCAGGTTGGTGTTGAAATGAAGCAAAGGGGCCACCTGTCCAAGCACCATGTTCTGAAAGTGGCAAGCAGCGAGTCCTCCCTTAAACATTGAAATCGGCAAATGCGTTTCCATCCTCGAGGAACTGTCATATGTTTTCCGCGTCAACCAGCACCTGAGCACTCTTCTGATTCAGAGCGAAGCGGACGGTTCCAGGCGCTCTAAGACAACTTATATCGCGGATCACCAATATGAACTTTGCCAGGGATGCATGTTTTGTTGTTGTAACGTATTGTTTATTGCATACTTGATCCGCGCGAACTACGTAAATTCTTACATCGATATGAAGAAGGTATAGCCCGGATCCTTGAGACCTTGTTCTGAATGAGGGGCATGGAAGGGGCTTTAAAGGGCTCGAGGGAGATCCATGAACTTGCCAATTCTGCAGCATTGAGAGGGCTTACATGGAAATACAGAGACATGACGTGCATATTAAAAACTTGAAGTCATGGGTCTCAAAGTTGGAGCACTGAGTGGTACAGGCTTGCGGTAACCCTGCACTGCTGGTCTCGCAATCAGGTCGACCGCTTTGCACGCATCAAAATTTTGCAAGGCATGCATGCCTGGCTCTCAAATCGTTGCGAGCATGCTACGATGCTCTTTCGCTCGTCTTTCTCTTGGTTTCTACGTGCCCTTCTGGAGCGGGACTCCATGGCAGCACCGCTCGCAGTCTGGTGCTTCGGCGAGAGCTGGCGAGAGAGGCCAGAGGGCCAGAGGGGTGGGCCTGGCTTGCGGCCGACCTTTCCGTTGCCAGACTGAGCTTTCCTGTTTAACTTGTTGGGCATGGGTCAAAATCAATCCACGGGAACCGCAGGTTTAAGTTCTTGTTTCCGCTTACCAGAGTTCCATTTTGGGTACCCATTTTTGACCCACGGCCTGTTGTTTTGGCAGTTTTCTTTTTATTTTCCTTCAGGCAAAAGTCTTGTTGAGCGCCGGATCTGTTTGGCCCAGGTTCAAACGGGGGGGATTTGGAGCCAATAGCTACTCGTTGTCAAGGACACATTGTCTAGAGATCCCAACACTTTGGTGAATGTCTACGATTTTGAGGCAGATGCATCCATTTGAACTGACCTTGGTGAGCAGGAGTTTTGAGAAAGGGATGTACTCAGTTCTTTGGCCTACATATTTGAGTTGCAAAGCACTCTCCAACGTCGGCATCAGATTAACACCTCGCCCCGCCAGTGAGACTCTCCTTTGATATAGCCTTTTTGGTGGATTTCGAACTGCTTGGTATTGTTTGTCCTGTTACCATATAGTGTCTTAGAGTAGGGGACCCCAAACAATAGCGGTGTCTGGGGGGGTGGACAAACGATGGTATGATACGTTTAAACTGCGGGAAGTCAGTCAGGGGTTTCCTTGTTGGCGAGCGTTCTTAGCTTGATTTGTGCAAGAACATATTCTTGGCTTTGGGCAGCAAGAAACTTGAGTTTGCGGGGGCCAATTTCTTGTACGTGGCCCACCCCAACCATCTTCGTGACTGCTTTATGTTCCGTATGTGTGCCAGGCTTGTTTTTTCTCAGACTGCCACCCCGAAACACAGTGGCCAGCCCACCTCCCGAGAAAAGCTGAATCTGTATTCCAGTTGCGTTGATTGATCCGCTGGACAATTCCACACCTGAAACTTGAGTGGCATTCATTCAAGACATTGACGTACTCCCATCCAGTTCCCATCAAACTCGTAATCCTACGTTTTGAGGAAGCTGCCCGGTGAGATTTGGAGATTTGAAGACAACTGAGTCACAAAATCGGGTTCATTTTTGTACCAGGTTTTGATTTTGACTCACCTGAGTTAGAGCAAAATGTTCCCGGCAGGTGCGGTTTTTGGGCATCCGGGACAGCTTTCCCAACTGGGCATCCACAAAAGCAACCCACGCAGCTAGCTCCAAACTTGGCCTAAACTTCCATTGGCTGGGGTTCATTCCGGTTTCCCCTTAACACCACCAAAAAAGGGGATCAAACAAAGACACACCCATTTGCTTAAGAATATTGTTCACTTTCCTCTGTTGGTTTCAATCTATCACTGCTGGAAATTTGTGTATTTATGTATTTATTTATTTATTTGTTTATTTGTTTATTTATTTATTTTTCATGGGACTTACTGTAAGCAAATGGATGTAAATTAACCAACCCTGAAAACCAACCCGCACCCTAAGCCAACCCTTAACATGGAACACGCAATGTATGATATATATAGCCCATAGCCTTAATATGTCAGCATTCCATGTGCAATTGCATGTATGTATGTGTGTATGTGGGTCTGTGTTGTGTGTGTGTGTGTGTGTGTGTGTGTGTGTGTGTGTGTGTGTGTGTGTGTGTGTGTGTGTGTGTGTGTGTGTGTGTGTGTGTGTGTGTGTGTGTGTGTGTGTGTGTGCGTGTGTGTGTGTTTGCGTGTTTGCGTTTGTCTACGCGTGTCTGTTTGTCTACGTGTGTTTGTGTGTCTGTGTGTCTTTGCGTCTTTTTGTCTGTGTGTCTGTATGTTTGGGTGCCTGTGTGTCCGCGTGTCTTTGTGTGTTTGTGTGTCTGTGTCTCAATACGTTTGCGTGTCTGTGTGTCTCTGCGTTTGTTTGTGTTTGTCTTTGCGTGTCTGAGTGTCAGTGTTTCTTGGACTGCTTGCCCTTGTCCAAGTGCATTTGCAAGTCCGTGTACCCGCGCGCATGCGCTTGGCTGCGGGCGTGCCAGGCTTGGTGGACCCCTTCAATAGCTACTTCCAAGTCATTACATTGCGCACCTTCCAAACAAGCAGCAACTTGCACCAATTCTTTTGGACAGCCATGATTTCAGAACACGGTTAAAAACCAAGCCCTTGGGGGGGGGAGTTCTGTTTGCTTTTTCCACCGTTTCCACTCGCTTCAGGACATCCTCGGCTCGCCGCTCGCCGCTCGCCGAAACGCGGCGGTGCAGCGTCAGGGGGGCAAAACCTAGCGCTGCGCGCGGCGCGGAAGTCGACCGCGGATGGGTGGCCGTCTTCTGATGCCCTAGGGAGGTCGTGGGTTTTTACAAGGGCAACCACCCGTGGGTCCCCCCCATGTTGAGACAAAGCCGGATGAAGACACTCGGCCTATTAAACGTTGTGGTCACCCACAACAGTCAAGGATTCCCGCCAGAAGGGGACACCCCCCGATCAAAATCAACCGCAGGGAGTTTCTCAACCTGGTGAACCACCTTTCAGTTTGCAGTTAAAGGGAAATCAACAGGAAAGCCACCATCGTGTGCCCCCAAACTAGGATAGTCTGAGGACCCAGATATATATTTGGGGGTGGAGTGGTGTTGGTTTCCCTGCAAAACCCCGACATGTTTATAGTGCATACGTGTATGTTCACAACACATGGCTATGTGACGTGTGACACAGATTTGGACATGGGAAAGAAGTGTTGCAGGCACAGCTTACTGGTGCCAGCATTCAGGCTGCCGCCTTTGCTCGCTGCCGGGGCCCAAGAAGGACAGGAGGTACCACTGGATCGCTTTGGATGTAGAAAGTGCCTTCGGATGGCCAAGCCAGTTTCGCATTCTGCTTCGAAACAGGATCCTTTTGTACCTACACCACTTGGAGTAGAGAGTTCCACCACCGCAAGCAGGATGCCCTTTGGGCAAATTGACTACTTCAGAGTGGAAGGGAGTACGGAAAAAAAAGGGAGCAGGCGGGAACTTGTGGGCTTTCCGGGCAAAGAGCTGGATCTGAATGCTTGGGTTGCAGGTCTTCAAGGGAAGAAGGCGGAAGCAGGGCTTTAGAGTTCAACGACTTTCAGCCGCGTCTGCTTGTGACCCTAAACCAGCGAAAGTGCAAATGCGAGGTTGAACGGCCACCTTTCTCGCCGAAATGTGTGCGTGTGTGGACACTGACAACACATGTCACTTGGGTTCAACTTTACAGGCTTGGCCTTCACTTTTTGCATCCTGTTGCAGCTTCCAAAGGATCAGATGACACAGCCACCATGAGCGCGGATACCAAGTCATTCCTTTGGGCACTGTTTGAAGGGCGTTCCAGGGCCCTTTTCAACCCTGGACTGTACTCGTTTCTAATGACCCATTTCGCACGGAAACACCTTCATGCTGTCTCGCCGGCAGGCAAGTACATTCTATAAATCTCTAATTCATCCTCAGCCTGGTCATGCTACGCTTGCCCACCCAAAGACATCCATAGTCTATGGCCAAAGTCGCCGACCTATGCCGACCTCATGGTTTAGGCTCCTCCCTGTGTCTTTTTCGGCAGGGGGGATATTTGTTCTACACCCAAACCCACAGAGCGACATGGGCCACGCGTTTGGTCGCAAGATGAGAACGCAGGATGGAGGGGCCATTGCAACTAAGACAGCGCTAAGTCGTAGGTGATGATTACGTTTTGCCAACCCCTAACGTTTACCCGCCTGTCCACTACTTGTAACATTGAACCTGACTGAGGGATCCTGGAAGACCAACTCCCTTTAAATGGACGTGGCTTATATGTAGGGGAGCTGCCCAGTTTTGCACCGGCTCAGGGCATTTGCCCTGGCCTTGGGCATTTCTGGCAGCGCCTTCGCGAGGGCTTTGCTGGCATGGGAGTTGGCCGCGCCCTTTTTCAAAGTCTTAGCATCTGCACAAGTTGCAGCTGTTGACTCCTACTCACTTTGCCTGGAACCTCAGGCGGAGGTTTTTGACCAAGGTGCAAAAGAGACCCCGTGATGGCCGTGATGCCCATGTTTTTTTTCAGCTTTGTTTCTACGCATGACTTGTGGTAGCTTTCCGGACACGAAGCTGACTGGCGATGCCAGAGGATTGATTTAGGAATTGCTGAATTTGTGGAACTCAGATAGGTCAACAACTTCCAGCCCATGACCTTGGCTTCCTTGTCAGGAATCTCCCCGGGAGTAGCAATGGCCAATCGTCAAAGTGTGTCAAATTTGTTGATGGGGCCATACTTGAGCAAGTGCCAGAAATAAATTTTACCTGTGCTAAGGGGTCTGGTGGAAGCAAGCGCCCAAAACCAAGGAAGAGATGTGGACTAGAAGTGACTAGAAGATGTTGAGCCCTGCTTTCTTCCTGGGTGCCAAAGTACGCCTTGCAACATCCCTCATGAATCCTGTGCCCTGAACTCCATTCCATGGCCCAGGCATTTTCTGTAGCTGATGTGACGTTTCAGAGCAGCTGTTCGCCAGCTGGGAGTTGACCTCCTTTTAGTAAAAGGAAACAAGCCATTTTTCGGGGACCCCTATTTTGAGAAATCCGCAGGAAAAAGCCTGCGAGAATGGGCCGTTCAAGGTCTCGCTCCTTCATTTCTGAGCATCGGATTGGTAAAAAGCATGGGAAGACCAGTGGAAGACATGCTCAATCAGTGGTTTGGCAAACGAAAGGTCATGCGGTATGCTGATGTGCACTTGGCGCCAGCATGCTGCGGGTTGAGAAAGGCTATCACCCTTCAAATTCTAGACAATCGGGAGCGTTCGTATGAATAAACTCCATTTCCACAAGGGGCTTGACCATGGCCTTGCATAGCAACAGCCCCATTGCCTATTGCTTCCTTGGTGCCCTGCCGACCCTGTACACAAGCTCACATCCGGCACGGTTCAGGTCTCTAGATTTTGCCCCCACGGCACTGCGGTCTGCAAAGTCCTCATCCGCCGTCTCAGCCATTGCCAGGTAAACCTTTGGCAGAAGCAGTGGGATGCGCTGGGGGGCCAAAGACAGCATGGTCAAGATGTCCGTTGGGGGGAGAACCTCCATGGCGGCCATCAAGATAGCCCTGATGTGGTCCTCTTTTGAAAGCCCGACCCATGAAATGTTCCACAGCGTCCCATGTCACTCCTTGCTTCCGCGCGCACAGGCATTTGATTCAGCAACGAGCCGCAGACCATGCCATTCTCGTGGGTTTCAAACAAACTTGAAAATCCTCAACTACCCGTCCTTGGTGGAGCTTTGGACATGAACTGATCTACCCAACCATCCAACAAGGGAGCCGCACATACTTGAACGGGGTACGATTGGATAAGCAACCTGGATAAGCAAACTGTTGATATGTGGAACGTACCGATCGAAACTTTATGCCTCTACCCGCTCCAATGTCGTGATACCCACGCTTGCCGTGATTCTCCACACCAGTCCTTCATGGTGAAAGACTGCATGTTCTCACAAGTCCGAGATTGTTTTCGGGCTTCGCGCCGCGAGGTGGCAACAGCTGAGATCACTGTATTTCATTGCTTAGCCGTGGAGTTGAGGCTGTCTCCGTTGAATTGTATTTGGCAGATTGGCAGACCTATGTATTCAGTATGCAGTTGCTTGCAACTACCCAGTACGATGTGATTTTGCTTCCCAATTTTTACTGCCTTGCACGTTGGGCAGGCTGAACATTCGGGAACCGCGGTGTGCCCTCCGGTTTGTCGGCACTCGCCGACTGTATGAAGGTCCTTGACTGGGCAATTTGACTAGATTTGATCCGAGACATGCCGGGCATACGTGAAGGTTTGTCAAAAGTAGGGGCCCCTTTATCCCCTTGAGGTGGCACAAGGCGGCACCACGCCCCAAAAAGGGTCCATATGTTTGACACCGCCCCACATGCAGGATACACGATGCATGCCATAAATTTGCTGCTCAAGCCATTCAGGATGCGACCAGAATGCCCTTTTCGACTCACAATGCATCCAAGTGGATTTGCCTTTTCCAGCCAGCGATACGAGCCAAGGAGCGCCAAGTTCAAAGATTTCGAGAAGCGGAAGATGCGAGAGCGCGCCTTCCTGGGGGAGGTTGGTTTCCATTTGCCTAGTTGCGAAAAGGGTCCGTGTTTCAGACACTTGGTTTTTACTTGGTTTATCAAGGGAGCTGGTCATTTCATGAACAGCTCCCATAGCTGTTTCAGCACTTTTCCGAGCACTCCTTGGGTCTCCGTTTGGAGTCGCCTGTGCAGGAGCGTGTGGGTCATGGAACTGGAAGCGCTTCCGCTGCAACATGAGCTAACCGTAAAAGGATCTTGTGAAAAGACGCCCATCGGAGGCAAAGTCTTGGCGGCGCTGCCGTCATTTATTCAACACGGGGACTTGCAGTCACCAGAACTTGATGAAAGAGATGTTCAGAATCTGCAGAGCAGCGGGACAGCCCACAAATTCGTGGCTCGCCAGCTCAATCAGAACATCATCCGGCTAAAGTTTCCAAGGGAGTTCATCACTCGAGCATTGCCATGCCCAATGCTCAGCCTGGGTGTCATGCTCCAGTTCTTATCTCAAAATATTGATCGGGCGTGTTCTTTGACACTGCCTTTTCCATGTGTTTGCCTGACGTGAGTCTTGCTGGTTTGAACCAGTCGGTCATTGGATATTGCAAGTAGCGGGACATGAAGCTGTTGCTTTTCACTGCAATGATTTACAAGGCACTATGATACTGTTGCTGGAATCAACTGTCAGTGATCCCATGCGTGATGTGTGAATGCATTCAGCTGAGAATGATACAGAGCCGAAATGAAAGTGTGACTGCTTGCCAGGTGGGCCGAATCCGGGTATCATACTGGATACGCAGCTTGGTTTGAAGTTAGGAACTGCTCTGGACAGAAATCAGAACAATTAACTACCCACTAATCAACCTGACAGGGGTCCCTTCAACTGGAAAATGGTCTTCCAGGACCCCTGTCAGGTTGGTGGGAGGGTAGGCAGAGGTCCGTGATCTTGGCTTGATACATCGCCAGTTTGGTCAATGGCTGACTCGGTGAAAAAGGGGACTCATCAAAACGGGATTTGTCTGGAGCCATGATCAAGCAGACCAAATCGGAAAGCAAGGTAGAGCAACAAAGCATGCCTGGTGTTAGACCTTTTGAAATCTAAGTGGTTTTCCCATTAAACCTACAAGATGATAGACCTTTTTCCCCCCGGGAAGACTCCCGAAAGATTGAGAGCTGGCTATGTTCATAGCATGGAATAGATATTTCAAAGGGCCTGTGTTAACAGCGTCCAGCGTTTGCTTTTGCCCCCAGTGCAGCTTTGCATTGCTGAATTGGTCTCTTTTCTTTCGGTCGGTTCTGGGTCAATTCTGGCCATCCTCCTGGTCTGTGTAAGTAGAATCTAACTTGCCATGGAAGTCACGAGGAGAGTTTTATGAAATCTCCCTTCGAGGTGTTCTGAAACTTCGAGGCCGTTCGGATGCCGACAGAGAAGTTTGAGAGATCTAGGCCTTTGGAAGCAACTTAGCAGCTCTTTTAGGATTGAAGCTTGTTTTGGCAGACACTCGAAGGGCAAGATGAACCATTTGGGAGAGTCTCTAGTGTTGGTTGCCTAAATGCATTCCAGCAAAGACGTATTCTAAACACCTGCTTGAAGGGCATTTGTCCATTGGGCTTCGCATTGGACATGTCAGTGATTGGATTCGAGGGGAATACACATAATCGACCTAACATTCCACATTCTGCAAAAAGATCATGAAATATCCTGGTACACTCATACTGTGCTGATCCAGGGAATATCCAGCACTGTGGGCGTGGGTCAAAATTAGACCACTAAGGGACCGCATGTTTTAGTCCTTGGTTCCATTTGCCAGGGTTTCAGTTTGGGTACCTATTTTTTACCAGCCATATCATCGTATCGTATCAGTGTGCTGCCATACTCGCATGGTCGTTCCCCTTTCGCTCCCAGGTCACAAACCCTCGGAAAGGTCTCCAACTTGGAAAGGCCCGGTGCGAATGAGTCTCTTGATGTCCGTGCAAGCCGTGGCTGTGAATCTCTCTCACTGCTCAAATTGGGTCGATAAAGTGAATGTGTTTTTTTTGTTTGGGGGAGGGTTCTTAAAATTACTTTGACTTGTTCAGATTTACATGGAACCTGCGAGCAGTGTAGATTTTTTGGGGTTGCATGTCAATCTGCTTGGCAAGGCTCGCCCTTGGAGACTTCTGGTGTTGCCAATGGAGTGGATGGCACCTGGTCCATAAGCACATGACATGGAACCCGGCTGATGTGCACAATCGTTCTCACCATCCAAAATCGGGTTGGGTCCAGTGTAATTACCTCTCAATGCAACCAACCCTTGAGGGTGAACTCAGATTGTCCGAAGATAATTTGGAGTCTCTGGGAGTCTGAGTTCAGGAATATGCCCGCGGTGTAGAGTGGACTTCGCCAGCAAGGGTGCAGTGTCGGTAGACACGTGCCGTTTAGAGCCAACCCCTGTTCTCTCATTTGGGGCTTCCACTAGCTCGCACCAGTCAAGTTCCCAGCCCTTGAATTTGGGGCTTCCAAAGCCCTTTTCAGCCTGGGAACTGGGCCACTAGTTGTTCAAACCCATCCAAGTTGTGGGTAGTGGGCCACTTTGGTTGTTCAAATGCAAATGGTTGATGAGTTTCTCCAGAAATTGAGTTGTTTAGTTGGCTCAGTTAGTTGTTTAACATCAACAGCCTAGTTGTTTAGTGTGTTCATTTTGGAGCAGACTGAATTGCCTTGGCCAGGACAAGGAGAACTTGGCGGTGGATCCTGAGGCCTTGGACCGGCTCGCCAGTGAGCCCCTGCAGCTCAGGCCAGCGCGAGTGCGCGAGTCCCCTGGTTTCTGATGAGTCACCTGTAAATACCAACAAAGAATGGTTTCAACCATGGTTTCAAAGTGGTGCGAAGTGGATTTTGTTCATCCACAGTATCAATGTTCATCTGCGAAAGCTGCGTGTTTCTCCGTTCAGAAGTCTGAGCTGGGCACATGCGTCCCGCTCGAATTACTGCCCGTGAGGAAATCTGGGGATTCAGACACAGCACGATTGACTCTAAGGAGCCATTGTGTTGTTTCCCCGTTAATCACGCCACAAACACATTCTGACAAAATCCATTGAAACATATCCAAAACAAGGTTTTCAGGTACAGACAACGCCCAAAGCGTCAGATCCGATTGCACCCCGGCGATCCCGCAGCTTTGGTTGGGCGCAGGCTGGATCGCTCCGGGCGCAGCATCAAGGAAGGCGACAAAGTGGAGGGGCGCCGGTCTCAGTGGCTGAGCCCCTTTGTTGTTTTGTGTTGTTTTGTTTTTTGTATTGTTTTTGTACTTTCTTTTTTTTCTGGGAAAAACAGCTGGAAGCAAAAGGCAAAAAACAAAAAGCTCGTGGTGCGCCACCTTGTTGCATGAATCAAGGAGAAGATATGAAGATACCCATTGCGTAGTCGGTTCCTTTTATTGGGGGAGGGACTCACGACCATGTCCAATTGGAGATCGTATGTTTGCGCTCAGAAGCTTACATGCAACGGCCCAGAACCCAGCTGTGGCCTTGTCGGTTTTTTTCCGAACGAGCCAAGGGGCAAATCCTTGTGGAGGCATGAATTGCTTTGCACTGGCGGCTGTAGCTATCCTTCCTCGTCACATGGAGGCTGAAGAATGCTCTTTGAGCCATCTTTGCCTGCTTCTCAATGTGTACGCATATAAAGCCGGATGTTTTCTTACGCAGGAGTTCAGACGGCATGTGGCGCCATGTTTGGGTTGCGCCTATAACCTGCCCACCCACCTTCGAGGAGCTTTATGGGGCGGAGGGCTGGCAGGGTGGGGCCAAGGGGCAATAGTCGCCACAAGCAACTTGGATGAACCTCCACGAATGGCCCTTCATGCATGTCAACCACAGTGCAAATCATTGTATATATAAGTCTAATTCACAACTTGGGGGCTCGTTGAGCAAGGTAGTTGGCACAGACATTGCTCAAGCCGGGCAGAGAAGGAGCTGCCGCCTGAACTCGTTTTGTGTGCCTTTGGGAACAATCCTGCGGGTCTCGTGAAATACTCCAACCTGAGAGTCCCGAAAGTGAAATGTGTGGCGATTGCTTGCTGTCAGCTGATAGCTGATTTTCGAACACTGCGAACAGGGTGGCGTCGCGACCATGTGAGTGCTTCTGAGGTTCACCCATCCTCAACCAACAAGCCTACGGCCAATATCGGTGGACATCGATTGCCCACCTGCATTTGGATCATGTTCCGCTCACCTGGTGCGTACTATGTTTTTGCGAGTGGCGTGACTTGTTCGCCTGTCAGGTCTTGGCACTGACCGCCAAGTTTTGACTCGGCACTTCCCTGGCTCTGCGTTTGCATCGCTCGACCAGAAATGCAGCTGTTTCCAGGAGCCCCATGGCCCTGGCAAGGCGTCCTTGTGCCGAAGGGCGTCCTTTGCTCGAGCCATCAACGGAGAAGTCCGATTTGTCAATGGCACTGCTTTGGCAGTGCAGCTTCTTTGTCGTGTTTGCTCAATTTCCCATAGGGTTGCGTACGTACACATACTTTATACGCGTGTATGTAATATAATCTGTACTGTGTATACATTATATATATATACATATCATATATAGGCGAACACACACGCACCTCGCTCTTCCAGTCCACATTCTAAATGGCACGCCCTGCCAGCTGGTTGCTTCTCTTTCTGACCAAAAGGGCAGACTCTTTGGTTTTGGTAACAAAGGGCAATCGACATCTTTTGTCTCCAGAAGACAAGAGCTGCTGCTTTCTGAGGCAGATGCCCTGGTCGTCCTATACCAGCCAAGGCCTGCATTCCGCCCAGGCGCAATCGGATCCAATCCCGGTTTCGGGGTATGCCAAAACCGACTTGTTGGACATGGCCCGTACCTCATGAAACAGCATGGAGTGAATTGAAACTCCCTCCCCAAGCTGTTGAAGACGAACAAATCAACATTCAAAGCACATCGCGATGAAAGGCCGGGTAAATTGATTGGTTCCCTGGTGAATTGCAGCCTGTTGCTTTGGTGACAAAGGATTTCCTTTAGCGACGTGCCGCTGCTGCGCACGCGTTTGCTGTCTCTAGTGTAATCCTTGGACTAATTACCATAATGCTTCTGACCACCAACAATGAACTCGTTGAGTCTCAGCATGAGTCAATAATTACCACTCAACTCACAAGTGACCTACACCCCCCCCCCTGCCCCAACGCGTTTTGGGAGGTTTCCAGAAATCTCACGGGGCATGGCCTCGCCTCGCACCTTGCGCGTCAGGCACCGGCCGGATGGGAGGACTTTGAAGCTCGCTACGGCCGTGGTGTGCTGAGATGGACTCGCTTCGGTGGTTATTGAAAACGTTGGTGCATTTTGCTTGGATGTTAGGACTTCAACTTTTTGCTAGCTAATGGGTTTTCCATTAAACCAGTAAAAGTCGAGTTTTTAGCAGGGGAGCAGAAAGCAACCAAGAAAAGAGGTGGATGGGTCTTGGGGGGTTGTCAAAAATTGGGACCTATTGGGGCCGCCGCTACGTGCCGCCTCAAGGGGATAGCCAAAAGGGCCCCTTTCACTTCCATTTGCTGAAATGTTGATATGTTTGATTTGTTCCTGTTGGTGTTGAAGGGAATCTATCGCATTTGGAGAGATATGTCCTTTTACGAACTTAGGTCCAACAACATGGCGCATCTGCATGTTGATCACCACACTAAGCTGCATAGGCTTATGATTCCTGGGACATGCTTTATGTTTACCAGTCAGGTGGTACAACTTCGGCCCCCTTTTGGCTTTTGTGTTGTTTAAGTGGCACCGAAACGGGCCATGAGAAACTCTCCCGGGTTTGCCGGTTGCTTTCGGCTGAGGACTGGACAAGAAAGTGGCCAGCGAGGTGGGAAAGCAGGGCGTCCAGGAGCTCGAGCTCCTCGGATCCAACGGCTTGGGCTTGATCCAAGGTATTTAGGTCCGGCTAGGGGAGGGTCCGTTCTTTCGACATTTGCAAATACGACTTAGGATTGACATGAAGGGTCAGCCTCAGAGGGCCCAAAAGGAATGGTTGACTTGGTTGCGGAAAATGCGTTGCTTGATTGAGAAGCCCCAGAGAAGTCCATGATGTTCACAATTGCAGTGCTTGCATGTTGGCTTTCTAACATTTGCTTAGATGTCGATGTGTACCTCGCGCACCTTGTCAGAGCCGAGGACAAACATGGCCGTGTACGACGGAAAGGACATCGGACTGCGCTTGCGAAGCATCCTGTGAACATCCTGTGATAGTCATTCATGTATGGGGCTGTGTGTGTGTGCTAAAATAAGGGGATTCCCCAAACTGGTGGTTTTCCTTTTAGGAACCAGCCCGAAAAGGTGCCTAAAACAAGACACATCTATTTCCACAAGAGCAAGCCTTTCTTTTCCCGTGGACGTGGGCATTTTGCAAGCGCCCGATGTGGGTTTATTTGGGGTCGGGCGGAAGCTATGCAGCTCTTATTGCCAAGGATTCATAAGGCTTTGGAGAGACCCTGTGCACACCTCCTCCAGGATTCACCTCCTCCGGGATATAGTTTTTAGATCTCATACCCTGAAGCAGCATGTAGACCCCACTGCGCGTTGAGATATGTAACGTTGGATCTGCTTGAATATGAGCCCCCCCGAACACGAACGGTGCCAACAGTCTGTTGGACCCTTCTTTCCCAGATAGCTAAAAGCTATAATTAGCGGTTCTCATTTGCGAGATTCACGGCTGGGTGATAGGGGGCATGCAAGTTTGCTGTTTTGTGGCGATGGTGCAGGTGTAGTCGGAGGTGCTGTGGGCGCATTTTTTGCCGGACTATTGGGCATGCAGTTTGGGGCACGGCGTGTTGAGATAGATGGACTGGCCGGCAGAAGGTTGCCTTGCCTGGTAGAGCCCGAAATCTGAATGGCTTGAGTCGCCCCAAGTCCGGACTGGCCACCTTGGGGCCCGAGGTCAAGGGTGCAATCCTCGGCTTGTTTTTACACTATCTGGAATCTATGCTTGCGTTTTTGGCTGGAAAGGGGCGGGGGGCCTCGCTGACGTCCTTCTCTGCGCCATTTAAGGCTGCAGGAGGTGTCTACCACTTTGCCTCGCCAGATGTCCTCAAAAAAGGTCATCGGTTGCTTCTCCGTTGCTGTTAGACCAGAGCCGTCTTGGTGCTTGGCCGTGCATTGCATTTGCCATTTTTCGGTCACCACGCGCCTCAGCCACGAGTTTTCCCGGTTTCCGTTCCTGTCGCAATGTCGGACTTTTGCGCGCATGCCCTGCGCAGCGCATCCTGTGGCCGCGGCGCCACAGATTTTGACAACATGTTTCGGCTCCAAGTCCGCCGGCAAGTTCAGCAACTGGCTGAGGGCTGCGCAACCGTGGCAGCACGGCTGATGACCTGCGGGGCCTCTTGGCAAGGCCCTCGTGCTTTGGAACAAGCATGAATTCGCTCATGAGGTCGTGTTTACCTCTTATGGTGCACTTGTTTGCGCAACTGATGACATTTTGCCAGCATCTATCCCGCCAGCTCCATTCACTTTTACACTGCCAGACGCCGGATCTTTTAACCTGGCAATCGGTGCTTTGTGGTGGCCAAAGGTTTCTCGGGGGACGCGCATGCGCCTTTGCCTTGACCCTGTGCTTAGAGGGGTGCGAGGGCAAGGCGGCCCACGCCCCTCGCCGCCTTTTGCCTGTTTTTGCTTGTGCTTCTAAGGTGGCCGCGGGGAGAGGGGTGCGAGTTGGCCCACGTCCCTCTCCCCCTCTTGCTCTTCTGTTGTGTTTGTGCTTTGCTCGTTTTTGGTCTGCCCTGTACTTCTTAGGTGGCCAGGGGGAAGGGTGCGTGGGTAAGGTGCCCCACGTCCTTCCCCTCCTCTTGCCTGTTCGCCTGTGTCTGCCCTGTTCTGCTTCTTGCCTTTTTCAGCCTGCTGTTGGCGTGTGTGGGTGTGTGTGCACCACACAGTGGTGGATCTCGAGCGTCGCTTTGAGGCGCTCAAAAGGCGACACTGCGACACTATGTTTTCTTTTTCTTGACGCGGCCACACAGGCCAACAAAACGTCTTGATAAACACATTTTCAACCGAAGCTAGTCAAGCCGACTTTTTTGAGGGGGTGCCAAACAGCGTTCTATTCTTCAGGGCCCCAAAGCAGTCCCTGGACAGTCAACTCAACCCGAGCCGCGCAACGAGCAAGTGTCAGACTAGACCTAAACTGCACAATGACCCTAAATGTGTTGTAAGTTGCTACGCGAAAATACACGGGAACAGGAAGCCGCGTTTTGTTTGCGAACCTTTCGCGGGTTTTCATGCCTGCACAAAAACTCTTTGCTGCGCTACATGTTCTACACGCTACTTGCCAAGTGTTGCGTATCCCGGTCGAGAAAATTTGCCCACAAAAATTAAGATGACTAAAGCCAGCTTTCAACAAACTCGTCCCATCCCTGCACATGCTTTTTGCGGGCCCTTCGCGGGCATGTTTGCTGGCTCGATACAATGGCAGACACGAAATGCACTTGGGCAGCTCCGGCGTGAACATCGCAGCTATTCAGCAATCCTCACACGAAGTGCACTTTGGCAACCCCAGCTCAAAAGTTGCAACTGTTCAGCACAAGTGCGGCGAGCCTTTCTTCGGGCTATGTCCTGGGAATGGGTCCTGCCACTTTCGAGCTGCACCGTATATATTTTTTGTACTGCACCTGCGTTTCGAGCTGTGCTGTACATCAACCATCCGCGAAACCCCTGCGAAAAGGCTACTTGCCCCCGAGGCGCTCGAACCGTGCGCGAAAAGGGCTTGCGAAAGCAGACATGGACCGCGAAGCCTAGGTTCGACCACCGCTCTCAGACAGGTGAGTAACTTGAGTTTCCCGTGGGTGCAGGACGAGTACCGGGTCATCCGCACTTTGACATGGCCTGGAGGCTCGCAATCAGCCAGACATTTGGCTTCCATTCGAGTTGGTGCGGAGAATCGGTGGCTATCAAGCCAATGGTTCAACCGTTCTACAAATCATGGTGTAGATAGTCAAATTTCCGACCCTTGATGCCAGGCAGACCTCAAGATAACGAACCTTTTCGGGGGCTTCGATTGGTTGCTTTGGGCTCGAACTGAAGCAAAAAGCCACCAGCAGTTCAGCTGGTCCCGAATGTAATCACTTAAGGTGTCTCAATTGACCATCCGTGCCCGAAACAAGCCGCAAGTAGCTGAGCCAGCCAAAAGTTTGCAAACACACCACCCAATCATACAAAAAGTTGTTTAGATTTGACTGCGTTAATTTGCGCTTGCCTGAGGGGCGTTGCTTCATGTTACTGAGAAGCACTGCTCTTGGTATATGCATGTGTTGTTTGAAGTTGGCTTGCGGAAAGTTGCATGACGCAAAATTACAATGTCAGAAGCGAACTTATCAGCTCGACATTGGCAGGCTTGCACTTGTCCCTTGTAGCTGTTGGGTGTCCATTATTCTGGGCAAATTCTAGTGACACTGGGTGTGCGACGTCATGAAGGCTCCTTTCACAGGCACCCCTGATTTCGTTGTTTTGCATGTGGGTCTATCTTTTGTTGGGCCCAAACAAATTGTTAGTTTCCTTTGGTTTCCCTTTAAAACCTCCAAGAAGGAGATACCCTCCAAAAAAGACTCCCATGTGGAGACCCTTTGTCGAGTCGTTTTGCGAGGCGTGAATGGCGACGGGCCCAGCTCCATCATGCTGCAGGGGCTCTCAGCTGGTAGAAACCATCACCTCGCGGCCAGATGTTTGAGATCTGCTGAGTTCCATGCACACAATTTCCCATGACCATGTGTGACATTTGTTTCAAGTTATGTTTTACTTTTGTCAGTGATGCGTTCACTAAATTGAACACGGCCAGTATCAACATGATGTTTGGTTGGAGGCCAGGGGTAGATTGCAAGATGGGAAGGACGCCAATGCCTACCATTCGAATGCCCCGGCATGAGGATCGGCGTGTTGGACATGTCCTTGCGCTCAGAGCGTCTCACCAGCCGCGCCATCTACGAGGCAAAGGGCGGGCGAAGTGGCGTGGCGCAAGTCTCGGGTCCAAGGTTTGATCCCAACCTTGCTGGTGCTGAGCAGGGAATGAACGAGACCGCGTGTTGGGAATGACTATTTGAAAATTCCCTTCAAAGAAACCACCAGTTGGATGGGGGTTATTCCATTTCTCATTCCCTGCCTATAGCAGTAAGGAACGCAGGCTGCTTGAGCCTGGCGTCGTAGGCAAAACACATGAATATCCTTGGAGGGGAATCAACACCATAGCCTTGCAGTGGCCGTTTGAGTCTATTGATAAGAACAAATGTGCTTCAAACTAAATGGGTGTATATATATATATACACGTTTTTGAGGGTGCCATTTTTACATTGGTTGAATTAGAGGGGAAGCCGAAAGGGAAACTGTCCAGGTGTCCTTCAGCTTTCTCCTTCAAGCCATACCAACAGGGGGTCCATCTATTTGAGACCCCCCCATGTTCATGCTGCCTGGATACATGGCGTCAGGTCGAGCCGACTGGGCTGATGGTGGAGCTTTGCAAGGAGCGCGCTGGAGCCCCGAAGCCGGAAACCAGCTGACTGAGCGACCGCTGGTTTGTTGCGGCCCCAATATTTATTTACCACTATCAAAGCCACCCTTTGGTGGGTGGTGAAAGGGAAACCACCCAATTTTCTGACTTTGATAACCCCAGAAACAGTCAAAACAATGACGTAGCTTTGGAGTGAAACATGGATCCCCGACCAAACTGAGCATCTTCGTGATGATGATTCAGGCAAGTTTAATGGGAAGCCAAGTATACACCAAGCATCAACCCATGGGATTCTCATGAGACGCCGTAGCCGCACGGGCAGGGCTGGTTGGCGCACGCCAAGCAATGGATCTCCCAGCTCGTTGGCAGTGGGCGTTTCGGGCCTTGAGATGCCTGAGTGCATTTCTGTGCCCGTTGCACAAGTCGAGTTGTTCACTACTGGCGTGGTTCGAACGTTTAAGACGTCTTGCTTGGCACTTTCGCGGGTAAGTGCTGCACTGCTGTGGATTTTGTTTGTCCTGCGCTCATCTTGCTGGTTCTCAGCGGGGGAATCAACAGGGGTCTGGGGAATGAAGCTAGGGTCTCTCTTGCTTGAAATGTCAGGGATGGCTCATAGGGGTCATTCGGTATGTCTTCCTGGGCTTTAGCCGCCAAAGTCCAGAGCCCAGAGGTACGTCGTTTGGCAAGGGACTTTATATATATATATACGAATAGAGAACGATTTGCGACAGGTCTCCGCTGGAATCTCTTTCGAAATCATGTTTCATATTATTGAGGTTCCCTATGGACCCAAATCACAACTGACATTTTTGGTTGGTGGGGCAAAAGCTGAGATTGTTTGGCTGGGATTGCCATTCTCCAGCACGCATCAACAAGTCTTGCGCTGTTGCACGGGGGCTTGTCGCAACGATTAGCAAACCCAACGTTTTACGCACATCGTGAATCAAATGCGGGTTTGTTTGATGTGGTGCACTGCCTGGTTCTACAAGCCCTGTCCATAAAGTCTTGAATCTGTTGTTTTCAGGAAATCTCTTGTGCTGATGAGCTTCTGTTTGGCATACCTTGGCAACGGATGCTCCAAAAACTCTGCCAGAGTCTACTTCGGTTCTCTCGAAGTCCTTTTTGACGCAATCGAAGCAACTGCCCTCCGCCCAGATCGGCAAGCAGCTCATCATGTGTGAGGCTCAGGAAGCGAATACGCAACTGGCGCAGATTCGGATGTCGCACAGGACGGAGGGACACCAGAGTGGGTTTGCACAGATTTAAACAACCAGACTCTGGTTCTTTTGTTTGGAAGGACCAAGGAGATAAGTGTTGACAATAGGTGTTAGTCGGTGGATTCATCGTTTCTTTATTGGCGATTCACCCGGATGGACCCAAAGAAAAAGGATGGATTGGTCGTCGCTCAAATGCACAAGGCTTAGGATTGAGTTTTTCCTCTCCAGAGTGAGAAGCAGGGTCCTGAAAAGCAGAGTCGGCATGACAGAGCTCGTTCACCATGAAAGCGAGCCCATGATCAACTGGAACGGCTGGTTACAGACCGGCTGATTCATAGAAGGGCCGCTACTGAAGGCAGAAACCGCAGAAGCTCTTCGCTTCGTCGGCAAGAGGTGGATGCAACTATAGAAACAGCAGAATCCCAGCTTCTCATCATAATCAACGCGCCGAATTTGGTGATCTCGTTTGATGGAGCTTTTCGTGGTGCAACAAGTGAGGCTGCAGGTATCGATTTGTTGGATGATTTCTGCTGAACCGTTGTAGTCCGGCCTTCGTTTGCAACTGATTCGGCTCCCTCAAGCAGCTTTCTTTGTACTACACAATATACTACAGAGGAGCCCGTGTCCCTTGTTTTGTTTCACTACGTTCCCATTTGTTCCGGGCCGCCGATCAGCTAAGCAACAATTGTGTGCGCCACTCCGTTTCACTGGCTCAATGCCAAGTGAATGTGCACGAGGGCAGCGAATCGTCAAATATTGTTGAGTAGTTGCGGGATGTTGCGGGCAATATTTGACGCTGGAACAACCAGGTTCCCCAATAGTTCCCTTTTACCAGTTTTGGGGGGGAGGGTTCTCCTACTAAAATTGACTACAGAAAAAAGGGTACCCTTATTCTAACCTCTTTTCTGGAGAACCTAGACAAGTTGCGTAAAACACACTGCTCCTCTTAGTGAGCGCTTCACGAATCAGCCTATGTGAACATCACTGGCTCGGCAATGGCGGGGGTCTCTCAGCAAGACTCTTGGAGCAGAAGGAAGCATCAAGTCACCAAGTGCAAACAACCCTGCCATATGCTCTAGGCACTGATTCAGAAGCTTCCGGTCACCATGACGGCGAGATGAGAAACATACACAGCACACGTCTTTGTTTCCGAACTGCAATTCACAATGAACAAATAACAACTTCAGAATGAGTCTGTAGCTGGCACAACTGTCGCGCGTTTCCCAAACCGCGAGGGGTCGGTTTTGGAGAACCTAAGGCCTAGGGAGCACAAGGAGGCCGTGGCCAACTATGCCCGCGGCTTCGCCACGAGCGATGGGCGGCATGTTACCTGGGAGGGGCGGGGGGGGGGACTGCCGCCCCCGGTCCAACCTCCAACCTGGGCCCCAACCCCAACTTGTCACCGTGTCATGTGCGAAACTAGGGCTACGGGTGCCACAAACGGCCGGCTTTCTCCTTGGTTTCCAGTTATGCCAATGAGAATGGCACCCTCGAAAAGAGACAAACCCGTAGTTTGAAAGCTTGGCGCGGGGACAGTTCACAGCGAAGTTGGCTCGACTTCTTTTAAGCTGGCTTTAGTGATCGAGATTGCCCACTGAGCCATTCAATCCCGGCGCCTTTGGGCTAGCCCAAGGACCTAGAGTCCTCTGGACCAACAACCAATATGAGCAGGACACCCTTTATAACTTCATTTCGGAATGTATGTGGAAGACTCAACATACTAAGTCGAGAAGCAAAACAGCAGACGCACATGAATATCGTAAATACTATCAGAAACAACGATCTTGCCAGAGCATTGTTTTTTGGTGGGCCTCATCGGTTTTGCAGGTTGGTATCGGTTTGTAGGAGGGCCTCTATCGGGTTCTGGGTGTTTTTTTGTTTCTTGGGGGGGGGGTATTCAGGAGATTGGGCAAATTCTAGAGACATAACTGGGAGGTTTTGCGACGTCACCCTTTGGGTGAAGGTTCCTTAATTCTTGTTCTTCGGTTGGTGAACTGGTCTAGTTAAATGTGTCTTTTTTGGGGGACCAACCAAAGCGGTGGCTTTCTTTTTGTTTTCCTTTGAAGCCTAAAGCCATCCAAGAAGGGTCCTCAAATAAGCTTAAGTGATATCCCCAACAGCATGCGGTGCTCTTTTTAGTGCTCGCACCACCCCGCAGCACCCTCGCAGAACCTCGTGGAACCCTCGTGGCACCCTGGTGGAACCCTCGTGGAACCTTACCTCAGGGCCGCCCCGGACCACCCCGGAGCCTATCTGGGCTGAGACCCCAAAGCTTTCAGCTGTTGGGGGAAAAAGACACCCCGAGTTTGCCCAGATATGGTTTCCAAGTATGTGGCTACACTCCAGATTGCAAGATGGCGGTTCTACCCGATTGAAAGTGGATCAGGGCTTGGAGCTACTCTGACGCAAGGCGGCAGCAAGAGCAAATGTATATAAGTTCAGGAAAGGGATGGAGTCAAGCTAGTTTCACCTGATTGCAGCGCAACTAGTTGAATTCCTCTTTGGTTTGGATCAGCGTCAACCACACAGAGCGTCGCCGTTTGCTCCCGCGTAAGAGCCCACGGACCGTGCGGCATGGGAAGTTCTCGGAAAGCATCCTCTCGACAAAAGTTGTTTTGTTGCATCGGCTAGGAAGTTGGTTACTTAGGAAGTTGGTGTTATCTTGTTGACAAATCCAAAGTATGTGGGGCAAGAGCCAAGTATGCGTTCTCATTCTGAGCAGCATTCAATGCGTGCCTGACCGCTTTGAGACTACGTTGCAAAAGTCATTGGCGACAACTCATTGCCGTTCCGGCCAACCTGTGACTTCAGAATCAACATTGTGATGATCAGCCTGTGAATGCACCCTTAATTGTCCCACTTGCATACCCCTTACATGCATCATACTCATCAGAAAGGCGACAAGCTACTGAGTTGCTGGTGCTCAGCAGGGAATGAGAAATGGAATGACCCCCCTAAACCATCCCTTGTAGTTATCTTATGGGCAGCCCCAGGTTTATTCCCAACACGCTGGGCCATTCCCTACTGAGCACCAGCAAGATACGCACCACTCCTTGCTCTGGCAGCCTTTGATTCCGTCGCCTGCCAGCCAACCCTCATCAGCATAACTTCTGGCTGCATCACCTGGACACCATCCAGGCTGACGCTGAGGCAGGAAGTCGGAGGGGGCAGTGCCATAGCCCGTTCTTATTATTCGCCCACGCATTGCAAGAGTTGGAACCAATTTGGAGGAATGTTGATGTCCAACCAAGGGTCCGGGACCCATGCAAATTCTCAAACACCCGCCTGGTTCAGAAGCAGGGGTGTCCCATTCTAGAGAGACCGTGGCAGTCTTCCAGTCTTCGGGGGGGGGGGGACTCTTCCTATTTCTGCGCCGCTGGCGTCAGATTCTCAGACCCTCATGCATTCTGGCAGTCGTGCAAGATGCACGAGTTGCGGAAGGGATTGTCGAAGACTGCTGTTCAGAGATTGTCAAGTGGCCTTTGGCAAACAAAAAACCAATAGGGGTCCAAAGCCTGGGTCCTAAACTAGCTCACGGTTTATGAGAGCGCCAAAAGGTCTCATTCGCGTGAAAACGTTGCAACCACTTGATTTGTTCAGGACATGTTGATATTCCATACGAATAGCGGCACATCTCTAGCCTGCGGTTTTCCCTTCAAATGATCTTTGGGGCTTCGTTCATTTGTCCGTTGGAGGCCTAACTGTCTCACATAAGTAGAGCGTGTTCATTTGCCATTTTGGCGTCCAAACAAGAATAGGTTTGCCAAGGATTGGCGTTTTGGTTCATTTAAGGTGGATACAGACCGTTTTGCATTGAGTTTCGCGACAAGAGAGTGGAAACCACAAGGCGTTGAAGCAATGTGCAGTGTTTGAGGCCCCTGAGCCCTTGAAATGGAGCAGTCATTAAGCTCACCGGGCAGATCCTGTTTGATTCCTCCGTATGTTGTAGCTGGTGAATCCTTCGCCTTTGAGACTTTGCGTAAAAACCGCCTGGTGTCCTTGCCAAATGGCAGTGGCAGACAAGCCCTCGCCAGCATGTTCAGCAGTTTCTTTGTTGTTAAATCTACCTTTGCGCATCAGCAAACAAACACATGACGCATTTCATAGATAGGGTGCCCTTTTATCCGGAACGGGGTTTCGCCCCCTTTGGCCCAGGCCCTGAATCTGTGGACCAAAGGTCGTCCCTATTCAGAGGCAGTGAGAGACTGGGCCGGGGCGCGCAGAGCTCTGCGCGTGCGGTGACGAGTTGGAGCCCTTTCATTGTGGTTCCTTCACCAAAGACGTTGGTTTACCAACGATTTTTCTCAGCCCTATGCGGGGCTCCAGAGATCTAATTCAAAGGCTTCAGCTTCCTTACGATGGAGCCCAGGGGAGTGAGAGACTCCCGAGACCTTTCAGGCAAGTGCCGACTGGCCGATGTGTGAAATGGACTGGACACCTTGCCCGGTCAGGATACCGGTCCTCAAAATTGCCTCAACGCCTAGGATGCAGACATTACATTGCCTTTTGCAAGACTACCTTGAGCTGTTGGTTTCAACATCGATGACCATTACAATCTACACGTGCAGCCTAGCGTCTTTGTTTCTTCGCCAGGTCAACATGAATGGCAACGTCCGCCAATGAGTTCTGGTTAGCAACACCCCACCAGCCAACGGCCTCTCAGGTTGCTCAGCCTCCAGGCAGCGTGCCTCGCACACTGTGTGCCTTGGCTGTGTGAAGGGCCAGTGTGTTTTCACAGGCGACGTGTCAAGCATGCAGCACCAAGAATTGATTCAGTCACCTGCCACTAGCAATGCGGACAGTGGTGTTCAAGCGCATCCCTAACAATCGGCAATTTTCATGACGCAGCAGCTTACTCTTGGATAGCCCCAACAGTTTGCTGCAAACTGCTGCGTGCAGCAACTTCCTTGGATCGTGTTTTGCCTGTTGCACACAACAATGATTTCTTACAGTATTGCACTTGCACACTAGGATGTTGTTTGAATTTGGTTGCAATGCCGGTCAAAAGGGAGAATAGGTGCTCCTGTCGCGTTTGTTGAATAGATTACAAGTGTGAAACTTTTGAAGCCTCAAAGGACATTCATTTGCTGCACATGCATAACATTCCCTGTCTGCATGTATCGCGTGTTTGACCTCAAGGCATTTGGTCTTGGCCAAAGGACTCCCTATGAGCTATTCTGAACAATGTGCCTGAGTCGATTGAGAGCAGAAATCGGTGCTTGGCCACCATACCTTCAATATGATATCCACCTGCATGCAGGTCACGCATGTAACTTGGGATTCACACATAAAGATGTCATTTCAAGGAGCGCGAAGCTTTTGGCACACGCATGTTCCAATTGAAGGGACCCATTTTCACTTGGTTGAAAAGTGCAACTATTTATGGGCTGGTAGCATTGGGCTAAAGCAGCAACTGCACGTAGTATAGTATGGATACATTTGGAAACGCCGTGCTATTCAGTGTTATTTACTTGAGACACCAGCATCCCCACTCCCTTAAAAATGAACTTAATTGGGGGAGGGTAGTGACCCTGGAATCCCATTTATGGTTTCATTGTCCCTGTATGGAAGTGGAATACCAGATGTTATGAAGGGAATTGGGTCCCGCACCCCCCACCCCTCCTTCCTAGGGGCATCCATTTCAGGAAGCACCCTTCAGGTAACCCGGTGGCTTGGCTGTGTGGTTTGGGACCCAAACCAGAGGGAAGCTGAAGATGTGTATAATTTTGCCCCCAGATTCATCAACCCCAGTTTTTAAGTACGGGGGTGTTCCCCCGCAAAAAATGATGATTCTCCACTAAACCAGGGACATCCCCCTATTTATAAACTGGGGGTTCTTAATCCGGGGCCAACGCAAGCCTCCAATTCACTGTTGTTGGCGCTGTGTTCAAATGGGTATGGGTCAAAATTAAACCACCAGGGGACCGCAGGTTTTCGTCCTTGTTGCCATTTGCCATTTGCCAGTTCCATTTTGGGTACCTTTTTTTGACCCACACCCAAATGTAGGTTGATCCAATTCGAGTGACCCGTCTTCCCCAACTGGGGAAGGCGAGCGCCCAGGTCTCGGGGACGTCCGGAGCTCCACCCTCCAGCGCTTGCGCCGCGAGAAGGGCAACGAGACCCAGGTCATGGCCGGGTGCCCCAGGCTCCGCCGCACGTCTTCTCTGCGGACGGGCGGAAGTTCGAAGTCCGGAAAAATACACGAGAATAGACCCCTGTAGAAGCTAGAACCCCTAAAAGCTTTGGCTATCTGGGGAAAAATGGCTGGATCCTTCAAATTCTGTCGGTGCACTGTAGCCCTGCATGGAGTGTTTATTGGCAGGGTTAAATGCTTTGTTGCGCGCGTTGCTTTGGTGTTGTGGTTCAACTTATAGCGCTTCCTAATTGTTTGTTTAGGCAGGACTTGATGGCTGGTTTGTGCTTGTCGGTATACAACTGATTTGATTGTGTGTAAGGAAGCTACTGCATGCGAGAAGCCCTGCCCGTATGGCTGTACATGATGAATAAGCATAAAACATTTACGTGCACATTCCAGGACTAAACATCGCCAAGCATACATGGACGTCAGACCTCATGTTTGTTGATCCGTATATACAAAGCTATACGACTATAGATGTGCATATGCAGCAGTCAAGATCCATACTGATCACCCTGTGATCATTCCGCAGGACTCTACTCTCTCCTCGCGTGCCAAGCAGCTAGCGCTGGGACCCTGGCCCTAGCGCGGGATGGGCTCTGGAAGCTCGGGTGTGATATACGTTGTTGTTTGCTTGTTTATGCTGGCATGCTTCGCTTAGCGTCTTTGTAGTTGCATGCTCATGACTTTGTGCGTGTGGTTCTGTTGCCCGGGTGGCAAAGTGAAAGGCCCTGGGATGCGATCGCGGCTTGACGATCGCAAGCTGGAAAGTGATTCCAAAACTGTGCAAAAACATCCCCATCAACTCCCTCAAGTTGATATATTCGCGCTTACAACGCATTGTCCTTTTTGCAATGAATAGCATGAAGCAGAATCTCGGACTCAGCTTTTTCAAGAGGGTTGAGGCTTGATTTTGGAGGCGGGTTTGGGAGGGTAAGTTTAAGGTTTCGGTCAGGGAGGCGGGGTTAGTGCAGGTTTGGGGTGCGCTTATGGTCAGTTTAGGGGGTAGGTTTAGGGTGGGCTTGGGCTGGTTTTAGGGTAAGTTTGGGGGCGGGGTTAGGGGTGTGGGAAAGGGCTCAGGCTACGTTTTTGGGGTACGGTTTCAAAGGGTTCCTGGTTCCCGAACAGGTCGGGAATCTCGATTTGGAATTCCAGAATTCCCAGCATTTCCCCTGTAGGCATCGCCTGGTTGCCACACCCACCTGTTTTCAACAGACCGAGTTGCCAGGTCTCCAGTTCCACCAGCGACCCCGCCTCAAAAATTGGTCCACGCCAAGAGGCTGGCTTTCACATAGGTCCCTAGGTCCCTAGTTCAACAAATGCGCCAACTTGCTCAGAAGGGAAATGAGGGAATGAACCTGGTCCCCTTAAAGGACACCACCAGCAAGGGATGAGTGTTTGCTCCTGGTTGGTTCTTCCAATTCTCAGGGCCAGTATTTGTTTTTTTCCTGGTTGGTTATACAATCCAATTCTCAGGGCCCCTGCATCTCTCGCAAGCCAACCAGTTGTGAGGCGTGGGCTGATCTCTATGGCCTCCAGCGGCCACAAGGCTCACGCCTTTTGCTGGTGAGATCTTCGTATGGAGCTGGCGAACTGGCAGAGTGCTCGTACTTGATTGTTTAAGTTGTACAAATAAACAGTCGATTCATCCTCAAGATTCATTCCTCTCATCAGACACTCTGCCAAAATCCACTTTGTTGAGTTGGTTCCCGGAAGCTTGACCACACACTGCATTCATGTCGGTCTGGGTCGCCGATTAGGCAGAGTATCCAGCGCCTTGATCACCGACAGGCATCATGGTATCACACAGTCCATATGTTCCCATCCACAACTGCATGCACGATTTCGTGGAACGGGCCAACCATGGTGAATATGTTTGCCCCGCCCGGCCGGAACCTGGATTTTGTGGCGCAGGTCATTCTGGGCATCATGGACACCGACCACCTGGGGCCAGCCCGGCTCTGAGGGTTCTTGGCGCAGTAAGTTGAGCACGATGCACGCCAGACAACACAAATCTATGGAGTTAAAACCTTGTGGTTTGCAGAAAGACACTATGAGAGGTATCAAGTTTACATATCTTGGCGCAGGCGGTCAGCACTGCTCTGAACTGTTGTTCGTTGCCACTCCCATCCAATGTCCTGACACACTGACAGGAAGCGCAGTTGGAGGGCTTGTAATCTTTGAAAACGGCTGTGTTGGTGAATGTTTGCATGGTTGGTTGCCAACTCGCAAAACAGCGTCACCAGCACTCTCCCATCTTCGAGATGTTGGCGCAGTGACTCTGGCCTTGCCTCGTTTCAAAACGTTCAGCTAAGCCTCATTTGTTGCTCTGTGTGGCAGCTCTGGTGTGATGTGCCCTAAGCAAGGAGCGCGGTGTGTAACGCGGCTTATGTCAATCTGTTCGACACCCGCGCCATCCAAACTTGGCCAATGAGTCGTGTAATTTGTCTTGTTCCGCTTGCTTGGGCAGTCGGGAATTTTTTGGTTGGGAAGTTTCAACAAGCGCAGCGCATGGTGACCGGAGCACCTAAGTGCCACTCTCCACACTTGAGCATTGCTGTCGTGGTGCCCCTCATGAATACTATTGAATGCTATTGGCTTGGATCTTTAACCCTAAACAGTCTGGGGAAAAAGTTTGTTTTGAAACCAACCTGCAAAATGGGCAACCTTTATTCACTTGGCATCAAAAACAGAACTGTCCTCTTCGGTGGTTTTGGTCGATCATGGCGATGAATCCATCAATGTTCCACCAAAAGGGTGTGGCTCAAAATTAAACAGGAGGGGTTACGCAGGTTTTGGTCCATGTTTCCACCAGGGCAACCCATTTTGGGTACCGGTTTTTTGAGCCACAGTCACGCCCCGAGTAGGACCCAGACCCGAGGTCACCAGCTGGCTGGAGAGGGCCGGCGCCACTCTGCAAGCGGCCAGCGCGCTCAGTTCGGACGAGGTCCGGTGACCAGGTGGGAACGGGTCAAAATCCTCGTTCACTTACCAGGGTTCTATTTGGAGTACCTATGTTTGACACCCAGTTTTATCGTTGTGCCCATGTTTGACAGTATGTCCGGTCCAATGACCATTGGTGTCTTTTTTTTGGAATTGGCGAGAAGTAAATGGGTTTGGCTTGTTTATATTGGTTTTATGCCATCCATGTACTACAAGGGCATCTATTTTCCCGAAAGGTCACCGGTCCGGTGACCAGTTCTTTCTCCCCCCTTAAGGTTCGAAGGAGACGTTCCCGAAGGGAAGTCTCAACATTCTGTTTGAGCCAAATGCCAAAATCTTGCAACGCAGGAGGCCCCGGCGCCGGAAACAAATCGCTGTGTCTCTTGGGGCCGGTTTGGCAAGTTATGTCACAGGATCAACCGCTATATACAGGTTGTAAAAAACAGTGTCCCTTATACCAGCCTTGGAGACACCACCCAGGGCAGCGCGGTGCGTACCCGTTCTTGTCCATTAAAGATAGGGTTGCTTTTCATGCATCATGATTCTGATTGTTCATTGGACTCTTCAAGGACTTCCCCCAAAGCCTACAGAGTGGAGGACTGTCCGTGTGCAAATGAAGATCTCGTGATCGTTTTGTTTGAAGAGTTGTGATTGGCAAATGGCATGTTTCAGAAAGAAGGGACAGAGGGAGGATGGCGCACGGACCGCCTGCGTTGTTTTCCGATTGCACCAGGAATCTGCAAGCAATTGCTCTAAGGCAAGTCAACAAAAAGAATCGAGCTGAGACCAAGTGGTTTCGTGGTTTTGCCAGTTTGAACAGTTTATTTGCAATATCCTGACAACTCGTTCTTGCAAATGTGACAGATGCGTCCTAGGCACAGGCCATGGAAGTGCAAGCGTGAACTCATGGCTCTTTGGTGCCGTTTGGGCACCGGAGTGTGCTCTATTTGTGCTCTGAGTTCTGGCTTTCCCCCGGCCAATGTCCTGCTGTTCGAAATGCGCTGAACACATCGTTTGAAGGACCATCGTGGTGAAGTTCATGAGTTCATCGCAGTGGAATGCGCCCATGTCTCCGTGTGTTCCAGCTTTTTGCCTTCTTGCGGAAATGGTAAGAGAAGGGAGCTGCGCTTCCGTTCCTCTAAGCAGCCACGACCTCAAAGCTTCCGGAATAGGCCGGGCTCTGGAGCTCAGGTGGCTGATGCTTCCGACATCGAGAGCAATCGTGAAAGTCCTCTACTCAGCAAGCCGTAGAAGACAGGTGTGAGCGTGCAGAGCCCGAGATTGATTAGTAAGGAGCGCATCTGAAATGCTATTCCTTAGTAGTCCTTACTTGGATTCACTTGTTTCTTTGGATTGATTATGTGAGGCTTGAACTCCTGGCAGTTGTCGAATGAGGTTTAACTTCCAAATCACCGGATACTCTAGGTGTTCTGCCGGGACACTATGCAAAACCCTCAGGCTCAACCTTGCTATTGCTACTGAGAGTGCATCCTCCTCATGCGATTGATAGCATTGCTGTTTTGCATCCAGAGCTGCAATCGAAGTGGTGGCTGCAAATGCGTAGTGATTAGTCACACGGAAACTGTGACAGTGTTCGACAAGAGCAAACATCTGTCTTCGAAAACCAGCTTGATGGAGTGTGCAGCAAACTTGGACTAATCCCTTTCCCCCAATAGTACGGGTCCTTTATTTTTGGAGGGGACATTCCTGTATTACGGGAAGGGATTGTAATCACCGGAGGTTCAAAGATGACGAGACGCGATACTGACATTTACTCAACTCAACAATCAGACAGGTTGATTGACGGCAGAGGCGGAAGTCAGCGGTTGCCGTCAAGCTACTCCTCTTCAGCTAGTCGAGTCAGCGACTCTGATTTCGACACGTTTCAACATGTGACAACAAGGCCTGAATGGCGACCTCACAAAAATTGCATGTTTTCAGGTTTATTCAGAGTTGTCAAAGCGGGCTGCAGAAAGAATGCTCTCCTGGGTGCAGATCCGTTCTCCGCCAACTTGAAGAGTCTCCAAATGTTTGATTCCCGTTCAGTTTCATGTAATACCTTGACCATTGCAAGTGGGAAATGTACACCTAGCCATGAGTCAGCACTCAGTTGTTCAGTGGCAAATATTGGCAAATGTTGTCATATTTATTGTGATTTAAGTCTGTTCAACAAATATCGGCGTTTGGAGTTGACCGCCGCCCATCTTGCTCCCAGACTGCCTTCAATGCCAAGGATGCCCAACATGTTGTGGTCCTGCGAAAGAGCCGATTTTATGCACGGGGCCGCGTGTTTGGCCCGCTCTATTCCCCAGTTCTCGCATTTTCCAACTCTGTCACGACGGAATGTCCTGCAACAACAGATCCGTGGACGCAAACCTTCCCGAGCAAAAAAGGCCATGACCCCCCAAGCTCCCCAAAACCCGATCCCAACCACCCGAGATCCCAACCCCCGACAGCATTGAGGCCTTGCCGCAGACATCCGTCTGGGCCTGCAGGCCTCGAAGGCCGGCAATACATCGCCGTGGAGCTGCTGAGTCATGATCCAACACGCAGACAAAGCTGAGCAAGTGATTGAGCAAGCGAGGCGACTACATGATGGAGCTTACAGAGTTATGACCCAAGCTCGGCTTGGCTTGTTAATTCTCTCTGCAAGTGTCACTGTCATGCTATCAATGTGAGCACTGGATCAACACCAATGACGCTTTTCCGGTGTCTGTGGCCAGGCTCATTCAGGTGCCAATCGATTTGTCCAACTCCAACCCACATTTTCCTGCCAGGGACCACGAGAGGCCCAGATCGAGGCAGTTAAGGCTGGCAAAGGGCGGGTACGTAGCTCAGACCTGACAAGCTCATCAATGGCTGTGCTTGTGGCACATAGGGGACCAATTAACTATGGTTGGTAAACATGAGGAAAGCTGCAGACGGCAACTATTTGATCGATTAGATGCTATGAGGTGTTTTCTGCCGCGTGGCAATCCTCTCTCTCCTTTTGGTAATGGCGACAAAACTGAAATCTTGTGCATCCCCTAGGCCCTAGATGGCAAGTAAAAGTCCATAAACGATGGCCAATCCCATGAACAGCATTGCGCTGTTGGCAAGTTGAGGTTCAATTTTTGGCAGCCCTTTGGCGTGGACGATTGACCCTTCGGCGTTGGACTCCAACTTGGCCTCGTTTTAACAGGTGTCAAGCAGCAACGAGAGGGCCAAGAGTGCGCTTAAGGCAAGGGGTCCTCTGGCGCAGAGAAACTAAGGGGGCGTTGCCAGCGGATCACTTCCGGGCCAAGGTATAATGGCATCTTGAGGTGTGGCTCTTCATGCTTGTTGTCAGGGTATGCAGTGCGTTGGTTCCTGGTTTGGGGCTGGACATGCCGAAGTCCATCCCATGACAATCCCAAACGCAATTTTTGCCCCTGCAATCGGGCCAGACATGTGCTCAGAAGACTCTTGAGAATGGGAAGCAGGTATGTTGGTTTTGCTCAACGGCCCCCCCTCCATGGGATTCCCCTAGGTGGCGCTGCCCCGGTTGAGTCCATACCGTGGCTGCACGCCAATCAGCCAGATTGAGTGGACAGGTGGCGGCGCAAGCGCGGCACGTGCTGGAGTTGGACGGGCAAGGGCCCCTGGGCTTCTTCCTCAATGAAGAGGCGCGCTCGTTTGACAGGAGGCCGTCAAAGACTGGTGCTTGTGTACATGCACACATGAGCAACTGACCAAATTGCTGGTAGGCTACTAGTAGATTGGGGAGGACACGGGATGCAAAACTTCCTATGGACCGCACTCCGGCAAGCAGGATCTACGCTGATAGGTGCATTTGCAACAAAATGTCTGCCCAGGCCAGGCCTAAGCTTTAAATGCAGGCGTCAACAGCAGCGTGGCACGTTCCTTTGGCGCGGCCCGTTGGCGCGCGGAGTTTGCGGCAGGGCCTGCAGTTCCTGAAGCAGCGGCAAGAGCGGCTTCTGCGGCTGCCCGAACCCCCAGAGCGGCAGGGAGAACGTCGGGGCTGCTGGCAAGTGCTTCTTACCCGTCGGTCGCTTGAGGTGAACATGGTTATTTTAGTATGGCCGGATTCTGGCTTTGTTCTTGCCTTGCAAGACAGAGTGGGTCAAAGACCAACTGGAAGGCGTCCATAGCACAAGTTGCAGGAATGCAGCTTCATCAAACCACTGTGTCCCAGGGTAAAGGCAAGTTGATATTCCTAAGACTGCCCCTTAGCCACACAATGGTTAGCCAGATATTCATTCACCAGGTCGGCGTCATTCACCGGCCAAGGACGCGGCTCAGGGATTTGGTGCAGCATGTGGATCCTCCGAAGACCTGGCAGGCGCTCGCCGCGCTCGCCTTCGATCGGAACAAGAAACAGCCATGACTCAGACACTGGCCTGGCAGGTTTTCGGGGTCTGTTCCACCCAAAGTGAAGGCTTCTCTCTAAAACAGCGCACCCTTTCGAATGAATAAACCTGCGTATACATCCTGGGGTTCCAATTTGCCATGCAAAAGCTAGGAACTCTGGTCACGGTAGAAAGTATCATGGATAGATGCAACACCTAAATAGAAAGAATTGCCTTGTAAATTGGAGATTGTAGAAGAAGCCAGAAGAGTAAATTCGTTGGCTTTTCTGTGGTCTCAAGTTTTTGGGTGTAAGTGCGCATGCTGGCTCCACGAGCGGTTCGCAGATTGACACAGAGTTATGTCAGGAACCTTGTGCCAGTGCTTTGCAATGAGGTTGGTCCCAAAGGGCACAGATGGACGGATTTCATTCAATAGGGAGAAAGCAAAACAATGGCGCCATGTTTCAAAAGCTGCTTCATGAGTGAGAACAAGCTATTGGCCAGCATTTGACAGGTCAGCAAGCACAAGAAATGTCAATTGTGACCTTTGAGCCGGTGCTGGTCAAAATGTATGTTTGCTGAGCTTGAGCTGCCAAAGTGTACTGCAGATGCCGGATTTGCCACTGTAAAGTGCTGAGAAGAAAGCAGTAGGCGCCCAAAGGTCGAAGGGAAAGAAACATAGCTATCATACAACAATAGAACATGTTTGCATATCCGAACATGATTTCGGAGCAGGCTAGGGCTACCCAAAAACACAAGGGACTAGGTTTCCGTAACACTATCTCAGGTGTTATGATTCAGTGACAAAGGAACTGGGTTGAGTTTCCTTGCTTGATCCACGATCCACAGCGGGTAAGTGGAGGCTAGTACCGGACAATCCCAACCAGCAACAGGTGCGGCTGCCTTTGATTCTTGGCTCGGAAGACCATAGTCAATGTAGCCATGGGTAGTGGTTGACAGGTACACACCAATGTGGGTGATTACAGAAAAATATAGACAAGTCACCTAGGAATTGGTGTCGGAGCTGGGCCAGTCCTTCTCGAGTTCTCGACCGTCTCCGCTTCGTAGGCCCAGTTTGTGGACATTTTTAGATCGAAACTGAAGCATTCGCTGGAGTTTTAGACATCTAGAGTTGGTCTGCATCGTTCTGCTTTGAATTGATTTGTTGGGGTAAATTCATTTGTACGTGGACCCACATCTTCATTCCAGACTGTTTCATTTATAATCTCATTCTTGTTCCACATCCTAAAGTAATTTGTAGATGGATGTGGATAAAGAATGACATGTAATCCGGAAGCTTATTGACTGGCAGCATATTATCTTATTAGGACCTATTCACCATCTGGATGTTTAAATAGAATTATATTGTAGAAATATTATGCTTATTTATCTTTCTAGTCTTTTATTATTTACCTTTGCCTTTCCTACCGTCAATGATTTCTTCCTTGGCAGTCAATGGTCAAGAATTCTTGGTTATAGACGGTTATCTGTAAAATCCTTGACCTAGACTCCCATGTCTTCACCACACTGTTCTGTAGACCCCCTTTCCTCCGGCCGGTGCTACATCACTACTTTGCGTTTGGAAAGTGGTGATGGCGCACCCATCGCAACATCATTCTGAGATCAGAAACGCGACATTCAACTGAAATCATTCGACTGACATGTTCATTGCTGTGAGAAGCGCTTGTTGGCTCTATGTAATGGTGTAGGCTTCACAACAAAGAGTACAATATATTATGCTGTTAGGTACTTGCACTGATGCTGCATGCCATGTGTTGCGTTGTAGTATGTATCGCGCGTTCCTAAAAGGGAGCATGCGAACATGGGGTACATGCCCCTGTTCGGGCCAGATTGCGTCGAGACACTTTCAACATAGCTTGCTGGTTGATAAAGCCACCTACCAATTGGTGCAGGTTGCTTTTTCTTTTTTATAATCAGTTGGACATGGCTTGGTGCAAGCTTCCACATGTGCAAGACGTGGAAGCTTCCAGCTTTACAAGGAAGACCTTCCCCGGTTGCGAGCGCCAGACCGCTGAAGAGCTCTACATCGTTCTGCCGGGCGACCAGATCCCTGGGCCTGAAAGCCGCCTGCCAGGCGACGGGCTTGCAGCAGCGTTGTTTGTTTGTTTGTTTGTTATTAGTATTATTATTATTATGAGTATTATGATTATTATTATTTTTTTACTATTAGTATTATTATTATGATTATTATTATTTGTACTATTAGTATTATTTATTATTATGATTATTATTATTATTATTTTTTACTATTAGTATTATTATTATGATTATTATGATTATTATTATATTTTTACTATTAGTATTGTTATTAGTATTATTAGTATTATTATTATGATTAGTATGATTAATATTATTATTATGATTATTATTATTTTTTTTACTATTAGTATTATTATTATTATGATTATTATTATTGTTTTACTATTAGTATTATTATTAGTATTATTAGTATTATTATTATGATTATTATGATTAATATTATTATTATGATTATTATTATTATTTTTTCTATTAGTATTATTATTATTATTATTATGATTTATTATTATTATTATTATTTTGTGGCACCCATGGGTCACAAAACACAGGCATATAGGTCGCCTTTTTTGGTTGGATTTTGTTTTGGGCACCGATGGTCAACTTCCAGGCAAATGTGTCCTTTCTAGGTGTAGTTTGCTTAGAAATAGATGGGCTCCACTGGTTTGGATGGGTTTTATGCCATCCATTTGCCAGGGAAACCCATTGATTTTTAAAACAACACCTATGCTTCCAGGTGTTTCTTTGTTTTGCAGCTAGGGATTTGACGAAGTAGTTGGACGTGAAGTAGTGAACGAGAAGTTGGAATTGGTCAATCGATTGGTAGGCTTTGCAGCTGGGGAATTGACGACATAGCTGGACATGGTCATTCTCTTCCAACTGGTTCGCTCCTTCATGTGCCTGCTCAGCATATTGGATTGCATATTACATATTGTCACTAATGAAATTGACCCGCGCTTGCGCTATAGTCGTCACTCTGTTACTTATTATTGTTGTCTTGAGTGCCCTTATTTGTGCCAGTTGGTTCAGGTGACAGGCAAGGCTCGATCAGTTGGGCCAAAAGTGTGACTTAGAGCTTTATTAGAAGTAGCATGTACTAATGGTGTAAGTTTGGCTGCTTTAAGCAAATAGAATGGCTTATCTAGATCCGGCTGTTAGATATCAAGACTTTCGCGCCGCGCCGCAAGATTCTTTGCACTGCCAGAGTGGCAAATTTGTTCTCGCACTGCACCCACTACTTGTCCAAAGCAAACAAGAGCCAGGAATCCCTCACAGGGACGCAAGGATTCAAACCAATCGAGAGTTCCATTCCTTGCAGATCCAGTTTATACCTGAACCCCCAAGCAGAGCCCTCTTTTTGCAGAGACCCTTCTGGAGGCCTCCCATAGCACTCCCAACGTGTTGTATAGCAGAGCAAGCCATGTCCCACATGTGAGCTATACTCGTTTCTCTAATAGGGATGAATTTTGGGGACGTCCACCCAGCATTTGGAGGGCATCTCATCCGTTGCGGGACTCCCAAATTCCCTCCCATCCAGGCGCGAGGCCGAAGGGCATGCGCTTCGAGCCCGCAGCCCAGCCATGTGAATAGCCATGTGAATCGCCATGTTGGCTTCTACCTCGAAAAAATGACAAGGCCTGTATGAACCTTGAGAGTTCTCTAAATTCAAGAGTCATGCGTTTTAGCCATCAGTGAGTAGTGCCCCTGTAGGGCCATGCACCGTGTGCGCATACTCTCTGTGTGTGTGTGTGTGTGTGTGTGTGCCCAGTGCATGTACAGTGTGTACAGTGCGCGCAGTGCACGCACACAGTGCGAACAGTCCGCGGAAACGGTATGCACATTCATTGTGTGCGCCATAAGATGCAGTGTGTTTTGCAACATACGCTGCCTGTTGGTTCACCATATATTTAACATTTGCTCGTGTTTTGCGTGTGCCAAGTGCGTGCTTACGGATTGCCTGCATGCCCGTGCGCATGACCGCTTAGGGTGAACTTGTGGGAGGAACTTGCCTATAGGACTTTCTCCTTTGTGTTTAGGGTGTTTCCTTCACGTTTCTGTTGAATCCATTTCAGAATCGAGCGTTTTGCAACTGCTGCGAAACCTTTTGAATTGCAGGCATGTGAAGAGAGGCGGATGGTTGTTATGTTCCATGTTCACTGATCATGACCCAGAGTTGAAGATACTTACATTAGAAGTGATGTTATTTCATGAAGGAGTTTGCGCAGATATGGCGGTTGATCGACAAACAGCTCGCAGCCGTGAGTCAGGAAACCTGCATTGACAAACTCAAGTTGCTTAGTCTCTATTAACCGGCAGTTGGAGTTGGGTGGATGGGCAGGACGGCTATCACGTCTAGAGATAGGATGCAAGGAACAATCTCCAAGACCGTCTCGAGGATGAACCGATTGGAGATCCCGGATCACTACATTCGGGCAACTAGGCAGCACGAGCCCGGACAGTTGTCCGTGATGTTTTTCCCAGCACCGCAAAACTTCCTGACCCCAGTGTGAGGCAAGCACGTTTACTCACCCACTAACAATGTGATATGTGGGCCTTTTGCCGTGGCACGTGTGTTCAGTTCGGGTGCCCACAGATTTGGCGCCAATCGGCGAAACGTCTTGTCGGAACTTGTCATGCTGTAAAATATTCCCATGCGAACATGCAGTTGCAGCCGTGATACTCGCTGACGGCCTTGAGCCTTTGACAACAAGTAGTGCAGAAATTTGTTCTATGCTTCCCTTTGGTCGCCCACATTCCCTTTGCTTCCTTCTGCCCACATCCCCTTTGCTTCCTTCTTGCCACTGTTGTTTGATGATTTGTTTATTTGGGGGGATGTCGTTTTTTGAGGGTACCCACATTTGAGTGGTTTCAATATGAAACCAAAAGAAGCTCCAACCAGTTTGGGGGATTTTCTTAGTGTTTCCGCCATGTTACGCCTTTCCAGTCGCGTTAGCCGTGCCGTTTGCCTAGGAGGCTGGTATGGAAGGATACACCGAGAGCCTTTGGCAGGGCCTTCTTGAACGGGGAGAGGCAGGGGTTGCAGGGGCCGCTCATGCTCGTGATCACCAAGTCGGCCATGGGTGTGTCAAACATGGGAAAACATCACCTCTTGAAGGTCTGCCATGGCCACCGGCGTAAGAATCTTCATCGCGCGGCTACCAGCTTCAGCGAATTTCTGCCTCGAAAGTCCCCGTCCACTTTTGCATGCAGGCGGATATCAGCTCAAATACCCCGAGGGCATTTTGGTGAGCAGCCATTCGGGTGTTTCTTGTTGAAGCTACCCATGTTCAGCTTGCTTCAAAGGCAAACCAAGAGGACATCGGCCATTTGGAGGTTCTTTCTCAATGTGTAGTTTGTTTTCTGGCGGCTTATGGACTCCCCGGGTGCTTTCTGCGTAGGCCAGCGAGCCTTCGGATCCAGTCGAGCTCTCTTGGTGGGCCACAGGAGCCATCGAGGACGGGGTGCGGCAGGGTGCTTCGGTTACGTGAGCCTTTGAGATGTGAGACAACTGCTGTCAAAAGGTTCAGCAACCCGTCGGACCGTCGGAAAGCTTGCCCTTTGCTTTGTTTCTTGCAACCGAATTGTGTTGATGCGCGCGCGCCGGTTCGGGAGATCTATGGTTTGCAAACCCCTCGCGCCAGGCCGAATTTCAAGAAGAGGTGGCATATCCCAATGGTTGGTGACAAACAATTATCTAAAAATAATTATTTCATTGAACACATGAGCGTATTGCAATTTGCCCAGCGCCAGACTCTAAAAGAAACAGGGAAATTCCTGCAATTCTTTGTGCCTCAAATTCCACCAGCTCGTCACAGATTGTCACACTTGCTTTTGCGACTTCTATTATCAAACCTCTCCAAAATTGCCAAGACCGACACCAGAACACCACAAAAACATCACCTGAAGAATTACAAACTAAAACAAAAAACCTTATTTATGAATATATATATATATTAATTCTTGCAACATATTCCTCTTTCTCGAAATTAATTATCTTTTTAGAATTAATTTGATTATATAGAATTTAAATAATATAATTTATTGTTTAATAATATTAAATATAATATTGGAAATATAACATATATATTTAATATATTGAAATATATATTAGGAATATTATATTTTATATTATAAATTCTAAATTTAATATTAATAATAATATTGATTAAATTAATTATATTAAATTTAATATTGATTATATTAAATTTAATATTTGGAATTCGATTTTATATACTAATATATTATTTATTTTTTATATATAAATTAATTTATATGAAAATAAAGAAAATTTAAGGATTTTTTATGAATAATTAATATTACTTAATATAATTATTTTTATAATATATAATTATTATTTTTATCGAAATAAATATATATTAATATGAAATTTAATATTAATAATATTAAATTTAATAATACATTGACAAAAATTAAATTGATTATATAAACATGGTTTGTTTTACCATCCATATGGAATTTAAATTTTTGTTTTTACGAATTTACATAAAAAAAAATATATTTTTAAAAAATTCGATAAATAATAAATATAAAACACATAATTTATTCTTATAATATGGTTTTTTTCTTTTTCGAAATTAAACATTTTTCTAGGATTTATTTTTAAAATTAGGGTATTTATTGATTTAAATCTTTATTTAAATAAATTTATTATTCGTAATATTAAATTCTTTATTAGCAATACTAAAAATTATATTGAATATATTAGATTTTGTATTTATTATTATTTCTTATTTATATATATTTTTATATTTTTTATTTTTGTTTATATTTGGCCATATGCAATTTTGTATAAAGATAGATATATATTCTTAACAGGTTTATATAAAGATAGATATATGATAAAGAATTTCTATATGCAATTAATATATAATATATGTCCTCGTTCTCGAAATCAAATATGCTTCAAAATATATTTTTTAATATAGAATTTAGAAAATCAAATAACATATATAAAAAAAAATAATATAATATTTATAATATTAATTATTAAAATTCATGATAGGATATATATTAATAATATCAGAAATTAAATTGCAAATATTAAAGATTGCATTGGCTATGTTAATTTTAATACTCGAAATATGGTTTATCAAAAATATGTTTTTATCGCCCTGTATGGCTTCCGTTCAAAAAGGCCGGCTAAAGATCTATATATAATATATATATAATTCTTTTTATGTTTTAATTTCTCCTTTTCGAAATAAAACGAGCCCCATGTAAATCATGTAAATTCCACCAGCAGCGCTAGCTCGGCGCTAGCCCGGCGCTAGAGCTGGGGCTTCATATGAGCGCTGGAAAGCGTGTGTTCATCTAGTCTAGTCTAGGAAAGACATGGAATATGAAATATAGATGATTTTTATATACCCTACATAATAATCCCTTCTATAATAATATAAAAATGGTCGACAATATAAAATGATTTGAAAATACCACATTTTGGATTTTCGAAAGTTAATATTATTAATAATTAATTTAATATTATAAATATCTAATTTAATATTATATTAATATTACAAATATTAAATGTAATATTATCAATATTAATGCTAATATATCCAATAATAAATTATATATTATTAAATTAATTTATTATTATTATTATCAAGTTTCAATTATACCAAGTCAAATATCGTTATTTGAAACATAAAATCATGCACAGAAAATGAAACCATATCTCATACAAAAATCTACAAAAACATACACCTTAATTTGCCTTTATTTAGAAATCCAAAATAAATCTCAAATTCATATTTAAAATATATCGATTTCTTGAAATTTTCTGTTATTTCTTTATTAATAATTATTAATTTATCGTGCTTTCTCTATATTTTTTTTTTATATAAATAGATAAATATATATATATATATATATATTTATTCCCCCCCAATAAAAAATATATTTGTTTAAATATCATTTTCAATACTAATAAATCTATATAATATATTAATCTTTTCTTTCTAAATTATTTAATCATATCTATTCTTTCCTTATATCTTATTTCTGTTTATTTTACAATTTAATTTTATTCAATTATCTTATATATCAAAATTAATATATAATATAATATTATATATTTATTCATTCTGTTCCTTTAAATAACCATTAATCTTTAATATCAATCTATATTTCTATATCTTTATAATTTCCGTTCTATTTCATTTCTTCTTTTCACCTCTAAACATATCCTTCATTCAATATCCGACTTAAATAAAATAAAATACATAATTTAATTTAGTTCAATATACATAATTAAATCCTAAATCATTATTTAGATTTTATATTAAAATATATATTTCTATATATATATACATTTATATTATCTATATATATATATATATCAATTAATTAATTCCATATTATAATTATATATATATCCAAAAATCCATCAAAATCTTTCATAGAAGAATTCCAGCCAAACCAAATAATCATCAAATGCAAAATTCCTTATAAAAACCTTTTAATCAATTCCTAATTATACAATCCATAAACATATCTAATCATTATCAACATGATTAACATATATCATTTTACAATATATATTAAAACAACAATTCCATTGACCTAAATTACATACAAACAAAATACACATTAACCCTAACAAATATAAGTACTTATGTATTCAAAATTATTTTGTTCACCATGGATGAACCGTCTTGTCCCCCCCACCAACCTCAGGACAATCGTTCATTCTGCGTGCAATTTTACTCGGATCCTTATTACCCGTTGACCAAATCAAGTGGAGCCTTAACCTCGCAAAAGGCTTTGAGCTGGGCCTCAAGTTGATTTTGCTGCGAACCGAACGTGAGAATAGAACACTTGGTTTATGTGCAGGAGCCATATGTTCTTAAGCAAACCCTACCATCATTTCTCGACTCACATGCGAACCTTCACCGTTTACAGCCTTGATTTTTGGGGCGTCCTGGGTAGTGATGAGCAAATGTCCGAATTTTGTTGGCCACGTTTATCTTGACAATTGTTTATGCTTTGCCCAGAGAATGCGTAGGGAAGGGTAGGAGCTTCGAGCTCAAAACAGCTAGCTCAGCAGCGCACATCTCCACAGAGTTTTCTTCGCTGGAATCTGAGGACCCCGCTGAGAAGTGCAGCTGAAGACTTCCGAAGACCCACACCTGGGGCTAAAGTTGCCGCTAAAGTTTGATAAGCCGTTTACATTGGGCCCGCCTTGTCTTTATCAATGTCTTTCCCGGACTTGAGTGATATATTGGGCTAGAAAGGGTGTCTTTGAACACGCAACACATTTGCCTGCGTACAAAAAACAACTACAAGCGCATTGACTGCCGGCTTGCTAGTTCCAGATACAAAAGGAACCCGCTCGTTTTGGGGGTGGTTCCACTCTTTTCAGACAATGGTGGCAGGCCCTGAATCGCATTATGCAACGGGGAATCTGGGCAGGCAACAATTCACAACTGGCGCGTCAGCCAAAGAGATCTTGGATGTTCAAGTTGGCCCTCACTTAGACTTCTAATGCACGCCACCTAGCTCCAAGAGGATCTTGTAAGAACTATTTGGCCAACGCATTTTTTTACGTAACTGACCTGCGCCAAAGCCGAGCGGCAACCCCTGTGTCACTGGTCAATGGATCTGCTTGGTTTGCCCTGCATTGAAAATCGAGCAACCCAGCCTCGGCAAAGAGGAACATCGTCAGGAATGAGCCTTAGAACTGAACGTTGTGTTCGAATAACATGCTCTAAGCACGGTTGTTAAAACTGGGCACGATCACCGAAAACAGGTGATAGTCATTGCCATGCATGCGCTGAAGGCAAGTCTTTGAATGGGCGAAGGTTGCAATGGGGGGTGGTTAGATGTGGATCAGGACATCTTGGTTCGGCGCCTCTTTTTGTCAAATAATGAGTGGTGGTTGTATTCCCTTCAAATGTGCATTGACGTATTAAACCCTCCCGCGAAAACTTCCGCGAAGCTTGCAAGGGCACCTTCCGCGAGAATGTTGCTGTATAAGTGCTTCCGCGTGCAGCTTCCGCGAGAGAACTCGTTCGCACGGTTTGCTACTAAACGTGGGCAACAACCACCCAACGAATTCAAACCACTGTGCCCAAATCCGACATCCCTTCCGCGGAAAGAAAAAACTTTCCGCAAACTGCGGGGAAGAAACAACGCCACTGAAATGAACGCTGCTGTTGATGGACGAATTCCAGCCGACGCTGCTAACACTTCTCTCTCATGCTTCAAACCCAGGTTCGTGGAGGGGATTGGCCGTCAAAAGTTCGAGGCCTGTCACCGACAATCCATGCTCCTCCTTTCAAAAAAACAATAGCATAAACTTTGGCAAAGGTCTGGTCATGCGCACTCTGTGTAGGGTTGTGGGTCTCAGGGGACAGTCCAAACACCGTCAACCACAAATACAGTTGATGTACGCACCACCTCCGATCCAATTGTACACAGTGGCGTGTAGACCCGCTCAATGATGGATGGCGCATCCTTCAAGCTTTAACAAAGCCACCGTGAACTGGAATACGCAACAAAAAAACAAATGACAACACAATGATGCCGGGCACATGGCATGTTAAGACAAAAAACGAGTGAATCGCGGGCAAGATTGTCGACCCTCACCAACAAAAACGACAGGCCGGGAAGACGTCGCACGGAAGACCGAATATCTGAATCAGCCACCAGAACAAATGTTGAG